ATTAAAAAAAAACTTTAATCTTTAATTTCCTTTCTCTTTCTCCTCTTATTAATGAATTTATCTCGAGTAATCTTATCTTTTTTGTTATAATATTTTTGTTTTTTTTTAATAAGAAGAGATAAATTCATTAATAAGAGGAGAAAGAGAAAGGAAATTAAAGATTAAAGTTTTTTTGTTTTAATTTACTTTTAATAAAAATGGTTAAAATATTATAAATGCCATAAGTCTCTCTCGAATAATTCTATTGCGAGTAAATTAGTTCTTATCTTTGTCTCTTCGTCGTCATTAGTGAATGAGATCATTAAGAAAAAATCAACTTATTCGCGATAAGATTACTCGAGATAAATTCATAATAAGAGGAGAAAGAGAAAGGAAATTAAAGATTAAAGTTTTTTTTTAATTTACTTTTAATAAAAATGGTTAAAATATTATAAATGCCATGACATTTGAGTCAATGTTTGTAGTTAAGGACAAATACATATAAGTTCATTTTAGCAGTGACTTTCGATTTTGCAGGTTTGACTTGCATATTTTTTAAGTTGAGGGTTAGATTTGCACACAAAAAATAGTTTGCGGGTTTGTTTGCATAAAATCATTTTAAATTTTGTCACAAATATATATATGTCTTATATTGCGGGGTTATTTTGACTTCAGATGTTTAATTTGCACAACTTTAAATTGAATGTTTGATTTGCAAAAAGAATTTAGTTTGACGGTTGTTTTGTACAAAACCCATTTATAATCTAGCAATGTGTTACATGGAAACAAAAACAACGTGTATTTTAAAAAATATAAATTTAGAAACGTTTTAGAAGCATCTATATATAAATAAAAAATATTAAATACTCCCTCTGTACCAATATATAAGCAGTTTTAGCCAAAAGTAAAAAAATTAAGGAAAGCAATAAAGTATTATTTAATATATCAATTAATCATAATCTGACCAATCTTGAAAAAAACTACAGAATATAATTGGCCACACAATAATCTATAAAGTAAAAAGTGCATTGGAATTGGAAGTAGAAAATTGCTTATATTATGAGACAAACTTTTTTTCTAAAACTGTTTACATTGTGGGAGAGAAAGAGTATTAAATAGTTTAACAAAAGAGAAATATCATCATATTTAATGTCAAAATATTAAAATTATTATTATTATTATTATTATTATTATTATTATTATTATGCGCTTCATCAATCAAAATTATTTTCAATTATCTTCACCAAAAGGAAGATCTTAAATAATAAACTCAATATGTAATGTTAAGATTAATTCGATGGATGGAATTAATTATTTATTTATCTTAAATAATTAAAATAACTCGTTGACATTATTATTTGTTATATAATTATTATATTTTCAAAAATAAGCAGTAAATTTCCGTCAATCTTGGAAATGTGTTAAAAAATTAAAAGTTAGAATATCGATCTGTTATAAACTTATATACACGATTTGAAGAAGTCTTAGTCATCTGCTTTGCTAGTTTGATGATTTAAGGAAGTCAAAATATTGAATTTACAAAATGGGTTTCTCTTTGTAATATTATGATTGAGAGCAATTAATGATGATGTTTTAGCAAACTATATTAATGTACCATATGGTTTAGTCAAAGTTCAAACTATAAATTGACTACCATAACTCCATTGATATAAATTTGTAGCCATTTATGTTTTATTTTTTTTATGTCAACAAATTTATCTTTAGATAGAAGTAATAAAAAAAGTTGACCAGAGCCATTACTCCTGGAACTATATATAAGTTTAACAAAACTGCTTTTTTGTATGAAACTGCTTTTTGTATGATTATCTTCTTAAACATAGTCTCTGCTTAAAGCATCTTGTCTTGCCCCTCTATCATATAAAAAGCATGGTGTTCTTGGGTATTGGCATTATTACAGAACTTCTATTTGACCTTGTATTCTAATTTGATATCTTGTATTTGATTTGATTTTTCTATTCAACAAGTAATCTCTTGGGAAGCCTACTTTCAATCACGGAGGCTTAAACAGCAAGTCCTTATGTGGTCTGTTGTCATTCTGCTCAAATCTGACCGATCTGAAGATTTTTGGAATGTAAGTTGGCCTTACTTGTTGCTTACTATTCTCCCTTTCTGTTTGAGTTTCATGAATTGCCCATTCCGTTTCTTGCTTTCATCATCTATGCTTTCATTTTTTACTTTGGCTAATGCATGGCTTCAACAAGTATTTAAATAGCAAAACAAAACCCTAAGAGAATATCCAAAACCCAAAAGAAAATATAATTAAACATCTCCTCCATCATCAATGTCTGTAGATTTTAGAATCTACTAGTTCCCCTTGTCCCTTTTTGATAAGATCCAAGTGTTTACGTGTTCAGTCACCAGAAGACAACACCATAGAGTGACTTTGGTAAAGAAGAGAATTTCAGTTCTTAACCTAAAATCAGAATGCCTAAACCCTAAAAGTCTATTGCTGAGCTTCCAAGTCTTTATAATCCTCATATGCTAGTTACAATAGTCATAATATTTGTGTTTTTCACTGACAGGAATATTGATATACTGCCTGAGGTGGTAGATTCGCTTACAATAAAATGTCAGAGCATTTGGTCTTAGAGAAAGATAAATCTGGTAAAGTTTTTCCACTGTGGTGCTTTGCTATTTTGTTGTATCATAGCTCCCATGTTTGGCTTACGCTGACCTTAATGTGTGACAGGTCCATGTGCTTATATAAATGCTTCGCCCTTTCAGAAAAACTCCCCCAATCTTACTTCACTATCACTTATAGGTTTTCATATAACAGACATACAAGCCTACATGCTTTTAACGGTATGGCTCTTTTGATTTCCTGGTGATTCTTCTGTTCTCACTTTTGGTGCTTTATAAATGTTTTACAAAAACAAATTGGGATATTTTCTTGCAGGATTTGAGTAAACTTAAATTACATGGACCTATCCAGAACATCTGGATTTGAAGGAAGCTTTTTGAGGTGAATTCATGTTGTCTGAGCAAACATTTATGATGAAATATATTTGTTTTTTTTGTTTCTGTTAGCAAAATTTCTTATGGCGGAGGTTTTCTTTCTTATGGTAGGGATGTGAGCCATGATTTCAAAGACGCTCTGATCGAGACTCTAATATTGCGAGATTCCATTTTGCTAACGCAGGTATGAAAAGGAATTTAACATTCAATATTTTTCTCTTGTTGTTGCATCATCACGCATATTCAGAGAATGGTTTGACTGTTTTTGGATTCGTTACTCACAGCAGGACGTTTGAGATTTATTCGACACATTGTGAGTTCTTAATAAGACATCACTCATAGTTTTTATAAAATATGCTGGTGACAGGTGATTTTGTTTACTCATGATAAATAGTTTTTTCAATAGGATGTCAAATGAATATGGATTACTTTATGGCGGCGAAAGGAGATGTAAAGTATCAAAGGACGTAACTGATTTTTTATTATTATGATTGTTTAGTATTTTGATGCAATAATGGAAATATATATATATATATATATATACCTAAAAGGAATATAAAAGGACTATTTTCTTTGATGTGGGAACGCATTCCAGCCTGTTGTGAATAGATGTCTCTTTAGTGTATACCAAAGAGATATCTGTTCGCAATCGGTTGAAATGCATTCACAGCAAAAAAATTAGTCCCTAGAGATTATTTTATTTACGTTAGGTATATATACATTTCATTGTTGCATCTCTGTTTTTATACAGTTATACTCGACCGTTTATTTGGCCGTTATCGTGTGTTGTAGGTTTTCTACTTTTCTCTCAAAGAGCTGAAAGTGGAAAGACCACGTCTTACATTTGTGGCAGATTTTCCAACTTCATCATCAAATTAGGAACTGAACTTAGATGATTTGTTTGTGGAATTCTTCCCGACGTTGACAGCGACTTTTGGCTTGTGTTTGATGTTGTCTCTTCTTTCCTCTTTTTTTTTTTATTTTTTTTTTTTTTTTTAATTTTTTATATTTCCTTTTGTTGAAGAAAGAAAATATTAATATGCAGTATTTTTCTGTTTGATCATACATTTGTACTTTTATAATAAGTTTTCAATAAAGATAATTTTGTTTAAGGTTTCATTAATGATAATTTTGTTTGATCTTTGATTTATGTTTGATTTATTTCCTTATCTTTAGTCTACTTTAAAATAACCTATTAATCCACCAAATTAATAACCTACATATATCTGTTTTAAATTATTACTGTTTAGTAAACCAACCAATGTTTTGAATTGTTACCTAACTAATAGCCTAAAATGTAGTTCCTAAAGTTCCAGTAATGGAAACGGAGTCTTGTTTGTAATTAACTTTCTATAAATCTACTTGCACAGTATTTTTAATTAACTTCTTCTATTTCGAGTACTTGGCAACGGAGACTTGTTCCTAAAGTTCGATCATGTTCCTGGTTTGATAAGTGACAATCAGACGATTATATAAGCTAAGTTTTACATCCTCACCAAGTTTTGGAATAGCATACCGATAAAAGGTGAAATAGATTGACGCTTTCTTTGCATAAAACTAGTAATAATAGTGTGAACCTTATTGAGAAAAAAGGGTTTAAGAAAATGGCCAAGGAATAAAGAGAGCGTAATTGTTTTACATCAGGACCGTTAACAAGTTCATCACCAAGAGAAACTGCTTTCTCCTGTCTCATACATTTTTTTTTTTCTTTTTCATCGGCAAATATATATTCTTCGACCAATTTGAAAGTCATGCCAATTCTTTTATTGCAACACAAGGCAATGCCGGCCAAAAACATAGCTTCTATATAAATATATGTCTTTCATTTAGAGATGTGCATTTGCATTGCTTCCTTTAAGAAAGTTAATTACAAACAACTCTCCGTTTCCATTACTGGAACTTTAGGAATTACATTTTAGGAGGCGGAATTACATTTTACACATGATCTACTTACATTATTTGTATATCTTTCTTGGCTAAGCGAGTCAAGAGGCGAAGCTGAGAAGCACAAGCGACAACAACATTTCGAGCATGAGCTTTAAAACATGATCTCGTCGTTAACCTATATCGGAGGCGCAGACAAGGCTGGACCAAGCCAATATGGAGAAGATGAAAATAAGGAGGAAGATGGCATCAGAGTCATCACACTCTCTGGATCGAACCTAGGAGTTAGCCACCATGAAGAATTGAAGACCAAGCTTGACAACAACAATAATCATGGAGGAGACAAGAATGAGCTTGATGATTTCCTTAGCACCTATGTTAATAGCAACTTTCAAGCTATGAACAACTCCATAATGATTCTGGAGGTTTTTGGTTCTAATAACTTGTTGGAATTGTAATTAACAAAATTTTGTGTATCTCTCTCGTCCCAAATTGTGTGGTTTCAGAGTCCTTTACGATCGTATGAATGAATTTAACATTTTCAAATGATTCTAGTTTCTCGTATGGTCTACTTTTACTTACTGAATTGATTAATTCCTTTGGTTTCTTGTTCGGTCGACTTTAGTTACGTAAACTCTGGTTTTAATCTAATAATATAAAGCAAATCATATTATCTTATTGCATATTTTCTTAAGGTTATTCAAATCTGTTTTCATTTCTACGATAAACAACAAGTATATCTCTCTTGATCATTACCGAACTTTTCTCAATTATTCGTTTGAGCAAATGACTTAACTAGTACGCAGGAATTTAAGCTCGAATATATGTTTGCCATAAAAATGATATTGTGAACGTACGGAAATCATCAAGACACGATTGCATGTTTTCATCTACTAAATGGTACTTCGATCAAAAGAACCTAGACATAACAAGACTTTACTATATTATTAAAACGACTTTATTATTATTGAAACGTTGCAGTAAAATATCGTCTTTGGAGCAATTCCGTTCTATGAATTGACAACCAACAAATAATAATATTGGTTTTTAAACTTTAAAATCCATGTTAGTGAGATTATTAAAATGCTCAAATCCTAAATTGTGTGTGTTGAATTCTTTCTCCATAACCCTTTTTCAATTTAGTTAGTTTTTTTTTTTTTTTTTTCTTTTTTCTTGTGCAGCAAGCAACATTTGCTATGTAGCATATATAAATCACATATTTAGAAAATACTTTTTTCCTTGACACTGGATTAGTTATGAATTTGTCAGACATATGTTTCCTTTCTCTCTGTCTCTAACAAGGTTCTTAAGACTATAACTTGATTGATCTATTAGAACAGCGATATCTAATTTCAGGCGATTCTTCTTTGGAGGCTTTTTTTTTTGTCTAGTATCTTGTTTAATTGAATGGTAATCAACAAGATTAGTGTTTCTCTCCTCTATTTTGTAGCAACTTGTTGTCCCTTGTGGATTGTGATTTTGAGATATCTTTGCTATCATCATCGTATGAATGAAGGTTAACATTTTGACATAAATCTGGTTTCTTGTTTAGTCTACTTTGCTTACTGTATTGATTAATTCCTTTTACTTCATATCTCAAAGTCTAAACCTGTGGGATGGAATTCTCCTAATCGTGCAAGTGTTTCGGTACATTCCTCACAAAATTCTCAATACAATCAATGAGAATCTGATTTTATACTCAGTTCAAAGAGCAAAATGATAGAAAATGACTATGGACAAAATGAGTTGACAAGACAGATAAACAAACGATATATAAACTTAAGTACGTCTCAAATTTAAGAACTCTGACGATATGAAGAAGTCTTAATCATCTACAGTACTAGTTTGATGATTTAACGAAATCTAATTGAATTTACAAAATAGTTTTCTCTTTTTTTAAAACACTGGATATATTGATTGAAAAACCGCTGACAAGGGTTTGAAGATGATGACATTAGTCATCTTACAAGACCAGAGAGAACAGCAAAAAAATAAACTTAAGGAAGGACAAAACGTTAAAGAAAGCTCAGTAGAGCGCAGAGGAGCAAAGACCTCGAGGAGCCTCAGACAATGAGGGAGAAGCCAGGCATATCAAACCTATCAGAGCGTACAGCATCATCAGCAATAATATTATGGAGCCACAAAGGGCCATGTCTGGCGATGTAAGATTGGTGCTTATTGAACTCAAAAACACTATTGGCAATAGCATTGGCAGCACGATTGGAGGGGTAAGATGTGTGAAACAGACTCCATAAGGCGAAAGACTGAAGGAGAGTAAAAATCTCATCAATCAGGGGCCGATGCTGGGGAAAGAGATGAGGCTCCATGAGCGCTTTCCTAGCATGTAGCAGGGGAGACCCGAAAGCTATTACTCTAAAATGCATGTTTCTTAGAGATTCAATAGCCCAGTAGAAGCTACGCAATTCAGCCTCAAGCGGAGAAGTTACCATAGCGTAAGATCTTCTGCTATGGAACAATACCATACCTGAATGATCACGAACGAGCCACGAAGCACCACTGTTGAGGCTGCCAGGATGCCAAGAGCACCCAATGTTGCATTTTAGCATGTTCAAGTCAGGTTTGGTCCATTTTGGTCCAGAGCAAATGGTTTTCTCTTTGTAATATATTCTGATTCAAAGCGATATTGGTGTTTTGACTAACTTTATTCTACAATCAATGCACCATATGGTTTTGTCAAACTAAATTTTGACTACCATAATTCCATTGGATATAAAATTGTAGCCATTTAAGTTTTCTTTTTTTTATGTCAACAAATTTATCTATAGATGGCAGCAATTAAAAAAAGTTGACCAGAGCCATTATATATATATAAGTTTAACAATACACTGCTTTTTTTGTATGATTATCTTCCTAAACAGTGTCACGTGAAGTGTCAAAAACTTTATCAGTTTGTACTTTTGTAAAGAGCCAGAAAATATCTTTCCGTTATCAGTTTGTACTTTTGTAAAGAGGCAGGAGATATCTTTCCTTTTCCAACGTTTTCTTATCTGTCATGGTCATGGAGGCTTCTTCGGACCCCAACAAGCGACTATGTCGACTCCCAGTTCCTAGCCTCTCTTCTTCCTCCTCAGGCCAACACCTTGACCCTATCCTTGCCGATGTCGACCAGAAGCACGTCGATCAGATCATCTCCTCGTTCCTCTCCTTGTCCGTGTCGCCTTCCTTCTCCTCGTCCGAAGCCATCGGCTCCTCGTTCGAACGAGCCCTTGAAAAAATGTTCATATATTCTGTTGACGAATCTGTGAATCTGGATCGTGGACTCGAACTCTCCTCGCTTCTTCACGAGTCCACCAAAAGGTGGTATCGTAGACAGGCCACAACCCACAATTCCATAGCATGGCCACTTCCTAGTGAGCTCACGGTTAAGGTAAACAAATCGCAACTTCCTGAGTTATTGAACCTAGAGACCACGTGTTTAATTAGGGCTTTGTTAGGGAATATTGGTGGGAGGATTGAATGATGTTGCGTAGAGGATCTTTAGATTATGTATTGAATGGTGTTCCATAGATCATGTAACCAATTCTTTTTCGCATTTTCCTTTGATGCGTATATTGAATCTATCATAGTATGATGATCTGTGATCTCTTGAATGTATTTGTAATGGATAATTCAGGTCTTTTCCATGGTTGATACAAAATCATTGGTGCAAGCTTCGGCGTGTTGCACCATGTTCAAGAAATGTGCCTTGGACCAAGTTTGTTACTCCAACGTTGACTTGACCACCGCAAATGTTAAAAGTCAAGTTGTGCGTAATATGATCCTTAAGGCTGGAAAGGAACTCAGGTGAGATGTTTTGTCTTCCTTCTTATTGTCCCTCTCTTTTCTTAAACTTCTCCTATGATCTTGGTTTTCTATTTATTATCTCGCATGTCGCTTTAATATCGTTGATGCATGCAGATCTCTTAAAGTTGGATGTCGAGATGAATCTACAGATAACCCTATGCTTATAGGATCTTGTCTTGCCCCTCTATCATATCAAAAGCATGGTGTTCTTGGGTATTGACTCTATTACAGAATTTTGTATGTGACCTTATATGTTCTAATTTGATATCTTGTATTTTATTTTATTTTTCTGTTCAACAAGGAATCTCCTGGGAAGCTTACACCTTTACATTCGCGGATGGTTGGACCGCAAGTACTGCTTACGTGGTCCGTTGTCAGTCTGCTCAAATCTGACCGATTTAAAGATTGTTGGATTGTAAGTTGGCCTTACCTGTTGCATATATACTATACTCCTTGTTTTTTTGAGTTTCATGAATTCTCCATTTCTTTTTTTCCTTTCATCATCTATGCTTTCCATTATTTGTTAATTTGTTACTTTTGCATTTATGATATGCCTAATGGCTACAACAAGTATTTAAATAGCAAAACAAAACCCTAAGAAAATATCCAAAACCCTAAAGAATTAAAGAAAAGGTAAAAATTGGAGAAAAGATAACTAAACATCTCCCCCTCCATCAATGTCTGTAGATTTTAGAACCTACTAGTTCCCCTTGTTCCATGATGATAAGATCTAAGAGTTTACGTGTTCAGTCACCATAAGACAACACCACATATAGAGTGACCTTGGTAAAGCAAAACCCTAAAAGGAGAGAATTTTAGCTCTCAACCTACTATCAAAATGCCTAAACCCTATAAGTCTATTGCTGAGCTTCCAAGTTTTTATACTCCTCACATGCTAGTTACAATAATCATAAGCTAGAGTAACAAGAAAGCTTTGTTACATATTCTCACTTTCTACAATATTTGTGTTTTTCACCGACAGGAATATTGATACACTGCCTGAGGTGGTAAATTCGCTCACAGAAAAATAAATCTGGTAAAATCTTTTCCACTGTGATGCGTTGCTATTTTGTTGTATCATAGCTCCCATGTTTTGCTTACGCTGACCTTAATGTGTGACAGGTCCATGTGCTTCTATAAATGCTTCGCCCTTCCAGAAAAACTGCCCCAATCTTACTTCACTATCACTTATAGGTTTTCACATAACAGACCTAGAAGCCTACATGCTTTTGATGGTATGGCTCTTTTGGTTTCCTGGTGATTCTTCTGGTCTCATTTTTAGGTCTTTACAAATGTTTGACAAAAACATTGGGATGTTTTTTTTTTTTTTTTTTTGCAGGGTTTGCGTAAAGTCAAGTACATGGACCTATCCAAAACATCTGGATTTGAAGGACGCTTTTTGAGGTGAATTCATGTTGTCTCAGCAAACATTTATGATGAAATAATTGTTTTTTTTTTTTTCTGTTTGGGAAATTTCTTATGGCGGAGGTTTTCTTTCTTATGGTAGGGATGTGAGCCATGACTTCAAAGACGCTGTGATCGAGACTCTAATATTGCGAGATTCCATTTTGCTAACGCAGGTAAGTTAAGGAATTGAGCATACAGTTTTCTTCTCTTGTTGTTGCACCGCTCATATTAATGCTTGACCTTTCTAAATCACGGATATTCAGAGAATGGTTTGCCAGTTTTTGGATTCGTTACTCACAGCAGGACGCTTGCGATTCATTCGATACATTGTAAGTTCTTAATAAGACATTACTCTTTGTTTTTGTAAAAATATCATGGTGACAGGTGATCTTATTTACTTCGTGATAAATTTTATCAATATATAGGACGTTTCAAATGAATATGGATTACTTAATGGCGAAAGGAGATGTAAAACACCAAAGTACGTAACTAATTTATTTTCTTATTTTTATGGTTTAGTATTTGATAAACATCAATCATATATAACTCAGGTTAATGACTCACCGCACCGGTTTATATATATGGACCTTATCGTGTGTTGTAGGTTTCCTCTCGAAGAGTTGAAAGTAAAAAGACCACGTCTTACATTTATGGCAGATTTTCCAACATCATCATCAAATTAGGAACTGAACTTAGATGAATTGTTTGTGGAATTAAGATCAAGATTCAAGACTCAGGAGATTCAGTTCCGCCAAGCAACGGCACTTTCGACTTATATATGTTTGGTGGTGTCTCTTCTTTCCATTTTTTTTGTTTATTTCCCTTTAATTTGTTGAAGAGAGAAAATAACAATTTGCAGTATTTTTCTGTTTAATCATACATTATATACTTTTTATTAAGGTTTTGTTATGGATAAATTGTTTTATCTTAGATTTATCTTTGCTTCATTTTTTAAAACTCTCATCAGCTACATATATAAACCATAATTTCCAACACCCTTATCTTTGGAATATTTAAAATAACCTATTAATCCACTAAATAAGTTTCAAATTTTTTTTTTTTATAGTAAATCAACCAATTTTGAGTTTCACCTAACTAATAGCCTAAGATGTAAATTCCTAAAGTTCCAATATGGAAGCGGAGACTTATTTGTTTATCAACTTTCTTAAAATATATTTACACTATTTAGTTAACGTTTTCTATGCCGAGTACTAGCAGCGGAGACTTGTTCTTATCGTCGATTCCTAAAGTCTGACCAATGACAATCAGACGACATATAGAAGCAAGTTTTGGAATAACATACCAATAAAAGGTGAAATAGATTTGACGTTTTTCTATGAGCAAGTACTAGTGCGAACTTTATTGAGAAAGAGTTTAGAGGATGGACAAGGAATAAAGAGAGCTTACTTTTTTAACATGAGGACCGTTAACAAGTTCATCACCAAGAGAAACTGCTTTCTCTCGTCGTCTCATACATTTTCTTTTTCTAATAGGCAAAAATATATTCTTCGACCAATTTGAAAGTCATTCCAATTCTTTAATTTGCAACACAAGGCAATGCTGGCCAAAAACATAGATTATATATATGTCTTTCATTTAGAGATGTATATTTGCATTGGTTCCTTTACTTCACCTTTCTCATAGTGCTATTTTTGTTACAAGACATAATAAAGAATGAAGCTAAGCGAGTCAAGAGGCGAAGCAGAGAAGCACAGGCGACAAAAACATTTAAAAATGATCTCGTCGTTAACATATATGGGAGGCGCAGACAAGGCTGGAGCAAGCCCATATGGAGAAGAGGAAGATAAGGAGGAAGAAGGCATCATAGTCATCACACTCTCTGGATCGAACCCAGGAGCCACCATGAAGACCGAGCTCCACATGAAAGACTTACACATATCGAATAGAATCTATTCGACCAATTCATTCGCGAAACATTGATTATTTCATTTAAGAGATTTCAGTTGATGAATTTTTTTTCAATATTATTTTACCAAACAAAATTAAAAATTAGAATATCATCTATTATAAACTTATATACACGATTTGAAGAAGTCTTAATCATCTGCTTTACTTTTTTTTGGTGAACAAAAAAAGTCTAAATATTGATTTTACAAAATGGGTTTCTCTTTTTAATATTCTGATTGAGAACAATTAATGATGATGTTTTGGAAAACTTTATTAATGTACCATATGGTTTAGTCAAAGTTCAAACTATAATTTTGACTACCATAACTCCATTTGATATAAATTTGTAGCCAATTACGTTTTATTTTGTTTATGTCAACAAATTTATCTTTAGATAGCAGTATAATAAAAAAAAGTTGACCAGAGCCAATACTCCTCCAACTATATATAAGTTTTACAAAAAGTGCTTTTTTGTATGATTATCTTCTTAAACATAGGGCCTGATTGGTTGTAGCTGTAGCTTTAGATTTTTTGCTGTAGAATTTTTATTATAAATAATTTCTTATAAAATATCATAAATTTAGCATTAAAAATAAATAAAATAGATATAGGAAAGAAACATCAAAAAATGAATATAGAGAATGAGATTAAGGAAGGAGAAGAGAGAGAATTCTCAGAGTTCTTAAATTTGTGCTCTGAAAAATCTGCTCTGCAGAACCAAAATATTTCCATATTTAAAATTATTGCTCTGAACTTAAAAAATGAAATCAAAGCTTGATTGGTTTAACACTAGTGCTCTAGAAAAAATTATAGCAAGCAGAGCATTCAGAGCACTTACCAATCACGCCCATAGTATCTGCTTACCGCATCTTGTCTTCTATCATATAAAAAGCATGGTGTTCTTGGGTATTGGCATTATTACAGAACTTCTATTTGACCTTGTATAATCTTGTATTTGATTTGATTTTTCTATTCAACAAGGAATCTCTTGGGAAGCCTACACATTTTCAACCACGGAGGCTTAAACAGCAAGTCCTTATGTGGTCTGTTGTCATTCTGCTCAAATCTGACCGATCTGAAGATTGTTGGATTGTAAGTTGGCCTTACTTGTTGCTTACTATTCTCCTTTTCTGTTTGAGTTTCATGGATTCTCCATTCGGTGTTTTGCTTTCCATTATTTATTCATTTTTTTTACTTTGGCTAATGCATGGCTTCACCAAGTATTTAAATAGCAAAACAAAACCCTAAGATAATATCCAAAACCCAAAAGAAAACATGATTAACGAGAAGGTTAAATTGGAGAAAATATAATTAAACATCTCCTCCATCATCAATGTCTGTAGATTCTAGAAATCTACTAGTTCCCCTTGTACCGTTTTGATAGGATCCAAGAGTTTACGTACGTGTTCAGTCACCAAAAGAAAACAGTACCATAGAGTGACTTTGGTAAAGAAGAGAATTTCAGCTCTTAAACCTAAAATCAGAATGCCTAAGCCCTAAAAGTCTATTGCTGAGCTTCCAAGTCTTTATACTCCTCATAGGCTAGCTACAATAGTGATAATATTTGTGTTTTTCACTGACAGGAATATTGATACACTGCCTGAGGTGGTAGATTCGATCGCTCACAATAAAATGTCAGCATTTGTTCTTAGATAAGAATAAATGTGGTAAAAAAATTCTACTGTGATGCTTTGCTATTTTGTTGTATCATAGCTCCCATGTTTGGCTTACGCTGACCTTAATGTGTGACAGGTCTATGGGTTTATATAAATGCTTCGCCCTTTCAGAAAAACTGCCCCAATCTTACTTCACTATCACTTATAGGTTTTCATATAACAGACATAGAAGCCTACATGCTTTCAATGGTATTGCTCTTTTTGATTTCCTGGTGATTCTTCTGTTCTCATTTATAGTGCTTTATAAATGTTTTACAAAAACAAATTGGGATATTTTTCTTGCAGGATTTGCGTAAACTTAAGTACACGGACCTATCCAGAACATCTGGATTTGAAGGAAGCTTTTTGAGGTGAATTCATGTTGTCTTAGAAAAATTTCTTATGGCGGAGGTTTTCTTTCTTATGGTAGGGATGTGAGCCATGACTTCAAAGACGCTCTGATCGAGACTCTAATATTGCGAGATTCCATTTTGCTAACGCAGGTACGAAAAGGAATTTAACATACAGTTTTTTTCTTTTGTTGTTGCATCATCACGCATATTCAGAGAATGGTTTGCCTGTTTTTGGATTCATTACTCACAGCAGGACTCTTGAGATTTATTTGACACATTGTGAGTTCTTAATAAGACATTACTAATAGTTTTTATAAAAATATGCTGGTGACAAGTGATTTTGTTTACCCATGATAAATATTTTTCAGTAGGACGTTTCAAATGAATATGGATTACTTTATGGCAAAAGGAGATGTAAAGTACCAAAGGACGTAACTGATTTATTATTATTATTATTATTATTTAGTATTTTGATGCATCAATGGAATATATATATATATATATATACCTAAAAAGAATATAAAATGACTATTTTCTTTGCTGTCGGGAACGCATTTCAACCCGTTGTGAACAGATGTCTCTTTAGTGTATACCAAATAGATATTTGTTCGCAATTGGTTGAAATGCATTCACAGCAAAAAAAATTAGTCGTTAGAAACTATTTTATTTTCCTTAGGTATATATATTCCATTGTTGCATCTCTTTTTTTTACAATTATACTCGACCGTTTATTTGGCCGTTATCGTGTGTTGTAGGTTTTCTCTCGAAGAGCTGAAAGTAGAAAGACCACGTCTTACATTTGTGGCAGATTTTCCAACTTCATCATCAAATTAGGAACTGAACTTAGATGATTTGTTTATGGAATTCAGATCAAGACTCAGGGGATTCAGTTCCGACGTCGACGGCGACTTTTGACTTGTGTTTGATGGTGTCTCTTCTTTCCTTTTTTTTTTTCCTTTTTGTTGAAGAAAGAAAATATTAATATGCAGTATTTTTCTGTTTGATCATACATTATGTACTTTTATACTAATAAGTTTTCATTAAGGATAATTTTGTTTAAGGTTTCATTAAGGATAATTTTGTTTGATCTTTGATTTATGTTTGATTTATTTCCTTATCTTTAGTCTACTTTAAAATAACCTATTAATCCACCAAAGTAATAACTAGGGGTGTTCAATTTGGTAAAACCGAACCGACCCGAACCGAAATAAGTCATATGGTTTGGATTTGGATACACTGTATAAACCGTATGGATGCAATTTTATATAAACCGTGGATATTGATATGGTTTGGATATTAACCGACCGAACCGCAAAAACCGCAAAAAACCGAATAACTTTATATATATTAAATTACTCATATAATAATATAAGTTTAGAGTAATAAATCATTAATTAACTAAAATTTAACAATTAAGAAACACTAAAAAAAACCTAGATAAAGCGATCTTCCTCTTCTCATACAACAATATTATTATAGCAATTGTCTTCTTCTTCGTTAATCTTTTCTCTTTAGACGTGAACTAAAGGATTTGCCTTAAACAAGTTTTCTCCGTTTGTTCTACTTTTTGTTTCATAAGTTAACTGATTTTCTTTTAATACTTTTTTATAGAATAAGAGTTTTTTAAAAAATAAGACATGAGTTTGCATTTTTTATTTGAATTTGATCATTTTGATTATGAGAAAAATCGAAAACCCTAATTAATAAAATAATCATAAAACAAAAAATACAAATTAACCGAAAACCGAGATTATTCGACCGAAAATATCCAAACCGCAAAAACCGAATCCAAACCGAACCAAACCGAAGTAAGTATGGATCTACTATGGTAGCTATTTTTTATTAACCGAAAAACCAAATACCGAAAAAACCGAACCGAAACCGAACCGATATCCGGATTGAACACCCCTAACTAATAACCTACATATATATGTTTTAAATTACTATTGTTTAGTAAACCAACCAATGTTGTTACCTAACTAATAGCCTAAAATGTAGTTCCTAAAGTTCCAGTAATGGAAACGGAGTCTTTTGTAATTAACTTTCTATAAATCTACTTGCACAGTATTTTTAATTAACTTCTTCTATTTCGAGTACTTGGCAACGGAGACTTGTTCCTAAAGTTCGATCATGTTCCTGGTTTGATAAGTGACAATCAGACGATTATAGAAGCTAAGTTTTACATCCTCACCAAGTTTTGGAATAGCATACCGATAAAAGGTGAAATAGATTGACGCTTTCTTTGCATAAAACTAGTAATAATAGTGCGAACCTTATTGAGAAAAAAGGGTTTAAGAAAATGGCCAAGGAATAAAGAGAGCGTAATTGTTTTACATCAGGACCGTTAACAAGTTCATCACCAAGAGAAACTGCTTTCTCCTGTCTCATACATTTTTTTTCTTTTTCATCGGCAAATATATATTCTTCGACCAATTTGAAAGTCATGCCAATTCTTTTATTGCAACACAAGGCAATGCCGGCCAAAAACATAGCTTCTATATAAATATATGTCTTTCATTTAGAGATGTGCATTTGCATTGCTTCCTTTAAGAAAGTTAATTACAAACAACTCTCCGTTTCCATTACTGCAACCTTAGGAATTACATTTTAGGCAAGTTATATATTCGTTGATTAAATAAAAAATAATTATTTAATATAAATATAAGGGTGTAGGAAATTATTGCTTATATATGTAGGCTGTAGCTGATGAGAATCTAAACTGAAGGAAACATAAATCTAAAATCAAACAAAATTATCCTTAATAAACCCTTAATAAAAAGTTTTAAAAAAAAAATGTATGATCAAACAGAAAGATTAATATTTTCTTTCAACAAAGGGAAATAAATATATTAAAAAAAAAAAGAAAGAAGAGACAAGTCAAAAGTCGTCGTCGTCGTCTTCAGTTCGGATGCAGGGAAAAGAATCTCCCGATTCCTTATCTGAATTCCACAAAGTTCAAATCCTAATTTGATGATGATTCAGATGATGATGAATCAGATGATGATGATGTTGGAAAATCTGCTGCCACAAATGTAAGACCTGGTCTTTTTACTTTCAGCTCTTCCAGAGGAAACCTACAAAACACAATAACGGCCACATAAACTGGTGAGTCATTCACCAAAGTTATGATTACTGTTTATCAAATTGTAAGCATTTAATAATAATAATAATAATTATAAAATCACTTACTTTAGTTTTTTACATCTCCCTTGTCCGCAACATAATCCATAGTCATTTGAAACATCCTATATATATGCAAGAAATATATATATATATCATTGTCAGTCTGTCACCATCATATTGTGACAAAAACTATGAGTAATGTCTTTTTCAGAACTTACAATATGTCGAATGAATCTCAAGCGTCCTGCTGTGAGTAATGAATCCAAAAACCGGCGAACCATTCTCTGAATATCCATGTTTCAAAAAGGTCATATGACTCCATATTGTGTGACATTAATATGAGCTGATGCAACAGCAATAGAAAAACTATATGTTAAATTCCTTAACTTACTTTCGATAGCAAAAAGGAATCTCGCAATATTAGAGTCTCGATCAGAGCGTCTTTGAATTCATGGCTCACATTCCTACCATAAGAAACAAAATTTCCGCCATAAGTTTTGCTAACAGAAAAAAAATATATATATTTCATCATAATAGTTTGTCAGACAACATGAATTCACCTCAAAAAGCGTCCTTCAAATGCAGTTGTTTTGGATAGGTCCATGTACTTAAGTTTACGCAAACCCTGCCAAAAAAAAAACGTTTTTGTAAAACATTTATAAAGCACTAAAAATGAAGAGAAAACAGAAGAATCACCAGGAAACCAAAAGAGCCATACCATTAAAAGCTTGTATACTTCGAGGTCTTGTATGTAAAAACCTATAAGTGATAGTGAAGTAAGATTGGGGCAGTTACTCTGAAAGAGCGAAGCATTTATAAAGTTCCATGCACCTGTCACACATTAAGGTCAGCGTAAGCCAAACATGAGAGCTAGGAAACAATAAATTAAAATAGCAAAGCATCACAGTGGAAAAAACATTTACCATTATCTCTCTGTAAGAACAGAGGCTGACATTTTGTTGTCAGCGAATCTACCACATCAGCCAGTGTATCAAAATTCCTGATTTTAGGGTTAGCAACAGATATCTTAGGGTTAGTATAGGCATTCTGATTTTTGGTCTCTCCTTTACCAAAGTCACTCTGTTGTCTTTTGGTGACTGAACACGTACGTAAAAACTAGGATCTAAAGGCATTGATGAAGGAGGAGATGTTTAATTATCTTTTCTCCAGTTTTACCTTTTCTTTAATTATGTTTTCTTTTGGGTTTTATATATTTTATTAGGGTTTTGTTTTGCTATTAAATACATGTTGTAGCCATTACTCATTAGGGATATCATAAAAGCAAAAGTAACAAATGAACAAATAATGGAAAGCATAGATCATGAAAGCAAAAAAAAACGGAATGGAGAATTCATGAAACTCAAAAAGACAAGGAGTATCGTAAGCAACAGGCAAGGCCAACTTACAATCCAACAATCTTCAAATCGGTCAGATTTGAGCAGACTGACAACGGACCACATAAGGACTTGCTGTTCAAGCCTCCGTGATTGTAAATGTGTAGGCTTCCCAATAGATTCCTTGTTGAATGGAAAAATAAAATCAAATACAAGATATCAAATTAGAAGATACAAGGTCAAATAGAAGTTCTGTAATAAAGCCAATACCCAAGAACACCATGCTTTTTATATGATAGAGGGGCAAGACAAGATGCTTTAAGCAGAGGCGTTGTAGATTCATCTGGACAACCAACTTTAAGAGATCTGCATGCATCAACAAAATGAAAAACGATATGAGAGATAATAAATACAAAAGCAAGAAATAGGAGAAGTTAAAGAAAAGAGAGGGACAATAAGAGGGAAGACAAAACATCTCATTCGCACCTGAGTTCCTTTCCAGCCTTAAGAATCATATCAGGCACAACTTTACTTTTAACATTTGCGGTGGTCAAGTCAACGTTGGAGTAACAAAATTGTTCTACGGCATATTTCTTGAACATGGTGCAACTCGCTGAAGCGTTCACCAATGATTTAGTATCAGCCATGGAAAAGACCTGAATTATCCATTACAAATACAATCAAGAGAGCACAGATCATCATACTGTGATACAATTCAATATACGCATCAAAGGAAAATGTGAAAAAGAAAATGGTTACATGATCTATGGAACACCATTGAATACATAATCTAAAGATCCTCTACGGAACATCATTCAATCCTCCCACAAACATTCCCTAACAAAGCCCTAATTAAACATGGTCTCTAGGTTCAATAACTCAGGAAGCCGCGATTTGTTTACCTTAACCGTGAGCTCACTAGGAAGTGGCCATGTTATGGAATTGTGGGTTGTGGCCTGTCTACGATACCACCTTCTGGTGGACTCGTGAAGAAGCGAGGAGAGTTCCATTCCACGATCCAGATTCACAGATGCCTCAACAGAATATATGAACATTTTTTCAAGGGCTCGCTCAAACGAGGAGCCGATGGCTTCCGACAAGGATATGGAAGGGCGACACGGACAAGTAGAGGAACGAGGAGATGATCTGATCGACGTGCTTCTGGTCGACATCGGCAAGGATAGGGTCAAGGTGTTGGCCTGAGGAGGAAGAAGAGACGCTAGGAACTGGGAGTCGACGTAGTCGCTTGTTGGGGTCCGAAGAAGCCTCCATGACCATGAACGTTGGAAAAGGAAAGATATCTTCTAGCTCTTTACAAAAGTACAAACTGATAAAGTTTTTGACACCTCACGTGACCCTGTTTAGGAAGATAATCATACAAAAAAGCAGTGTATTGTTAAACTTATATATATATATATATATAGTTCGAAGGAGTAATGACTCTGGTCAACTTTTTTTTATTGCTGCTATCTATAGATAAATTTGTTGACATAAACAAAAGAAAACTTAAATGGCTAAAAATTTATATCCAATGGAATTATGGTAGTCAAAATTTAGTTTGACAAAACCATATGGTGCATTTATTGTAGAATAAAGTTAGTCAAAACACCAATATGGCTTTGAATCAGAATATACTAGTTAGCTACTGTAGCAACAAGCGCAAATAAAGAACGAGAACCATAGAATTTTCAAAGGCAATTATGTCATGTCCTCATTGAAGGATCCATAGTTAAATAACGAGTCTTAGGTTGTAGAAGAGATCTCATAGATTCATAAGATAGAGAGGCAGAGAGATATGAATCAAACCGCTTCTCTTCCTTAGGGAGGAAATCTCTACTCCTAGACTTAACAGGTCGGGATCGGGCTAAAGAAGCCTCCTCAGTTGAGCTAGGCCAATGTCAAGATGAGCCAAGCCCTTTCCCGCGTTGGTCCGGGCCGCGAGACACCCAAAATCCTCCTTGGGCTTCGTTTCCTCGCCATACAGACATGTTTTGGTAGAACGGGCACTCTTTGATGGCTGATCCAAATAACCTCTTTCTACTTCGACGTGATGTATGACTCAAGTATCTATCTTTCAAAACCAAGATCGTGATTTTTGAACGCCGGGAAAGCATGGGTGCGCGGAAAAACTTGAATGCTCTGGTTCTGTCTTATAGCGAGAAATGTACTTTTGGTGCTCTAGACTTGAGAACTTGGCTAGACTTTATTAGACTCATTTTGCTCCATTGACATCTTCTTAGCTATTCTGACCTATTTGATACTCAAAACCATAATATACAAAAAAACTACCTCTTAGAACATAAAAGCCATTGAATAGAAAATATATGTAAAATATGGATATATCAACTCCAGGTCCAGTATTTGACATTTGCTAATAATTTTTATGCATTGAAACTCATATATATATATATATATATATATATCCTATTTTTTTCAATTAATATAAAATGAAATCATCAATTAAAATTTTAAGGGAAACAACTTTTTGTTTGAATTTCGAAAAGAAACAAGAATTCCTGAATTTTTTTATATATCTTAAAAAAACGTTGGAAACTAATTTATTAAATTAAAAAAAAAAATCATAACTCAAACTCTAATACATCCTAATACATACCATTTGTTATGTGGTGGGAATTTAAGTTGTGTTAACTATTTTACAAAGGATTTACTTCAAATTCTAACTCAACAATTATACAGTCTAACTCAAACTCTAATGCAAAAAAAAAATAAAACAAAAATCATGATTAGTAACATTTCTATGTTAAGCTTATAACTCAATTTTACCACATGCTACCATAAATCAAAGTCATTGTTTTGTTAGATAGCTGGGCCTTTGTAAGAAAACATAAGCCCATCAACTTCCTTTTGAACAAAACGCAGGAGATAACTGGATAAACCCCCCAAACCTGAAAACCGAAAAAACTTTTGGAAAGAAAAGAAACCACCTTCAAAATCAACCTCCATGATAGAGCTCAATTCGTGTCCCTGCTAAAATCGTAATACGGAAAAAAAGGTTCGTCTTGTTCTCTTCTCAAATTCAAGTGTGGAAGCGTTGTAGAAATGCTTCAAGATCGGATATTCTCTGGATTGGGTTTTTATGTTATATAGCTTGTTCATACTGATTTCGAGCAAAATTGAATCAAATGTTTCTGCATCGTGTGAAATTATACAGTGCGGAAGTAGAATTGAGATTGTAATGGCGTCAATATCAACCACCTCCTGGCTCTACCGAGGTTTTCATTTCTCTCTTAACCCGCTTCCCAGTTTTTCCAATTTCCAATTCTGATTCCGTTTTCTTTTTATCCGGTAGATAAAGTATGCACAGTGAGCGGAAAGATGGGTAATTGCATTTTGCAGGTTGATTTCTAAACTTAAAGAGCCAAATCAAGTTGTTTTTTTTTATCAAGAATGTTGAAACTTTGTTTGTATACCGTGTAGAGGCGGTTTAAATGCGTGTTTCCAATAAGGAAAGTACATGTCCGGATCAGTTCCGGTGACCGGTTATTGCGACATTGTGTCAAATGCAACAAGGAGAATGAAGAAGAAGAAGATGGTAATGCTAAAAAGAATGAACAAGGGTATGAGTATGTGACTGTTGAGAGACCTCCTTACCACAGTTACATGGATTCAACTTCTGGGAAACTGGAGCCAGCATCGGGTGCTCGTGCTAGCATTCCAGGTGAGGACTTATGGCCAGAAGGAACTTCGAGCCGTGTTAGAGCCGCTAGAGCTCCTCAACCAGCTGGTGAGTCTCGGAGTTTCCCTTCGTATGGCAAGAATCCTGGAAGTCGGAGGAAGAAGAATAGGAAAGTAAGTGAGGAGAATGTGACCGTTGTTGTTGTATCGGATTCTGAGGAGGAAGAAGAAGAAGAAGAGGAGGAGAAGGATTCGTCCAACGGGTTTGTTGTGTATAACAATGAGTTTGAGAGAGGAGAAGAGGAAGAGGAAGAGAGTGGTTTTGAGTTGGATAAAAAGCTTGGAAAGCCACATCCTTTTATCGATCCCACCAAGAAGAAACAGATCGACAAGACTATGACGAGCGATGAGAGTTGGTGGAACTGGAGGAAGCCGGAGAAAGAACAATGGTCAAGATGGCAGAGAAGACGTCCTGATGTTGAAACAGTGAGTCATTTCATTTCATTTCACCTCACGCTCATGTTTGATGGTCCATAATGCTTATTTTGTTGTTGCTGTTGCAGGTTTTTCTCAAGGCAATGGCAGAGACAGGACAAGTGAAGCTCTATGGGAAAGAACCAACACTCACTGAAACTTCTCTCTACAGAGCAAGAAGACATCTTTTCAAGGAAGAGAGGTATTTTCTTATAATCTCAACCACTTTCTTGTTAAATTCTGTGTTTTTTCCAAAAATAAAAGTTGTAAACTTTGTCAAGGCTGCAAGCTGAGCGAGAGAGATTAGCAAAAGAAGGTCCAATGGCGTTTTATTCTGAGTGGGTAAAAGCATGGAAGAGAGACACGTCGCGAGAGGCTGTACAGAAACATTTTGAAGAGACGGGTGAAGATGAAAACACACAGCTGATTGAGATGTTCTCTTACCAAACAGATCGAGAGTACCGGATAATGATGGGTACTGATGTCAGGATCAAGAGAGACCCTTTGGCAATGCGGATGAAAGAGGATCAGATTAAGCAAAGTATGAAACTTTCAACTGTTTTTTAAAGGAAAACTAACTAACTTGTTACATGATTGGATTTTCGAATGTTTGATTTAACTCTTTTCTTTTGGTTTTGTTGCAGTATGGGGTGGGGATCCAGTTTACCCGACAATTAACTACATTCAAGAACCTGATGCGGTTATGGATTACAGAGGACCTGATTTTCATGAGCCAACACCAAATATGCTCTCTTTTCTCAAGGAGGTTGGTTATTAGTCTTGTTAGCTCAAAATTATTTTCCTTTCTTGGTCTGAGCGTTTTCGAATTGACCAGAATGGCAAAGTCATCTCGAGAGAGGTGCACGAAGCACTGCTGGCGAAAGAGAAAACCGAGCAGCTCGAGGTGAGATGACCAATCTTTTGACACAAATCTCGTTGAGAGATTTTCAGAGTTTGTTTGAAAATTTTTTTGTATGAAATGCAGGTGCCTGACATTGATGATGCAATGGCACAAGCTGTTGATATTGGTGAAAACGATGTGAGTATCATTTGATCATTTATCATATCCTCTTCTTCTTCATTGTTTCTTGATGTTACAATGCTCTGAGACATCTCAGGAGGAGGAGGAAGACGATGCACAAGTAGAAAAAGACGAGAAATTGCCGAGGAACTGGAGTGTCTTGAAGAGTACCCCTGAGCTTCGCACCGCCAAGGTAAATGCCACATTCAACTAGAGCCGCCTATGGCTTTGTATATGTGTGTGTGGGGTTGTTGATGATATGATGTCTTTGGTTGGTTTCTGAAACAGCCAACACCGAAGAAAGAAGGTCGGATGTCTCTAGACGAGGCCGTGGATGACTCTGAGAACTTAACCGATTTTCTCATGGACTTTGAAGAAGAGACTGATCCTTAACCGGTTTTTGTTGTTGTTGTCCCCGGTTCAGTGTAGAGACGTTATCAACAATTTAGCTTTGATTTGATAGATGGTTTTAAAACTGTTAAAAGACCAAACCAAGACATGATCCGAATGATTTTACAATCTCTTACTAAGTTGTTTAGTTTCAAAAACCACAACTTGTCCAGTAAATTATTTCGTTGGACAAATACAAAAATCCTACAAATGGAATGGAATGAAATGTGAAACATCCTCATCATTTTGTGAAGATGTGTGGTGTATAATGAAATAAGTAATAATAGTGCGAACCTTATTGAGAAAAAAAAAGGGTTTTAAAAAATGGCCAACAAATAAAGAGAGCGTAATTGTTTAACATCAGGACCATTAACAAGTTCATCACCAAGAGAAACTGCTTTCTCTTATCTCATACGCTTTTTAAGGTTCGTACTTGCCTAAGCAAAAGGTTACATAGCTTGATGGTATATGGATATGGATCATAGCTTCAAAAGTGTCTGCTCGGAAGAGAAGAAAAAAAACGAAAGAGAGAGAGAGGCCATGTTCCTTATGTTCGATCATGTTCTTAGTCTTGATCAATGACAATCAGACGATATATAGAAGCTAGTCACTAAAGATACTAAACATGCATGTGTGAAAACTTCAAAACAGAGGGAGTACAAAACTTTTTTTCTAATGGGCATAAAGAGATTCTTCAACCCACTTGAAAGTCATCCCAATTCTTTAATTGCAACACAAGGCAAATGACTCTCCCTGACACAGCTTCTATATAATGTGTCTCTCATTTAGAGTTGTATATTTGCATTGCTTCCTTTACTATTTTCTTTCTTCTGTTGCAATTTGTGTACTGCAAAACGTCTACCGAAAAAATGAAGCTAAGCGAGTCAAGAGGCGAAGCAGAGAAGCACAGGCGACAACAACATTTCGAGCATGAGCTTAAAAATATGATCTCGTCGTTAACCTACATGGGAGGCGCAGAGAAAGCTGGACCAAGCCAATATGGAGAAGACGAAAATAAGGAGGACGATGGCATCAGAGTCATCACACTCTCTGGATCGAACCTAGGAGCCACCATGAAGACCGAGCTCGGCAACAACAATGATCATGGAGGAGACAAGAGTGAGCTTGATGATTTCCTTAGCACCTACGTTAATAGCAACTTCCAAGCTGTGAACAACTCCATAATGATGGGGGCCCACTACGAGACTAATGACCCTGGCGTTCATCTTGAGATCTCCGGCGATGTGGAGACACCTCCGATGAAGAAGACATCTGCGACTGCGAGGGAGTCCAGAGAGAAGAAGGGAAAGACTTCTGCTAAAAGTGACCGTCGAGAATAATAATTTGGAATCTTCTTGAACAGAACAGTTTCGCTTTTGTATTTCTTGTCTCCTCTAAATAATCAGAGAAGTAGTGCTTCACTTTCTCTATTCCAAGTTGTTGTTTTTCGCTTTGTCATCATCATTTAACTTTAAATCATGTTTATTTTTGTAATCTTTTTAACATAACACATATAGAGTATGTATGAATTGAAATGGTTGAAAGTATCACTAAGCTTTGGAATTAGATGAGACAAGAAAAGATAATACAATATGAAACCTCAATTTGGGACACAACTTCTGAATTATATGTGTGTGTATAATGTAATCTTGTCCATCGTATCATCGAAGCAAGCAACAAACTAATTATTTTAAGAGAGAGACAATGAAGAAAAAACAGAGGAGCTAAAAGGAAGAAAGAGAGAAAACAGAAGAAACTATTAGTTGATCTCAATGAAGAGACTTGCCTGAGGATGCAAACCTGCTTCTTCCAATGACATTGACTGTTTGTCTCTTCCGTACACTGTTCTTGGGAAGTTTGTTATCAAGCTGTACTCTTCCGTTTCCAACACTCCAAGCGAATCAACGTAATCGTACAATGTCTGTATCTTGGTCTTGCTCTCGAACCTCCTCCCTTTTCTTTCTCCATTCGGGAACCGTACCAAAACCTACAAATAAACGGTTCATGAAAACCGTAAACCAGACCGTTCCAATTCCAAGTCCAAAGAGTGCAAATTCAGAGAAGAAGAGAGAAACTTACTTGAGTAACATCAGGGGCTTTCTCAGGTTCGTCTCCAAGAGCAAGTGCTTTCTCTTGTCTCATTCTAACTCTAGCAGCTTCTCTCTCCGCAGCTTCACGTTCTTCTCTCTCCCTAGCCTCTTCTTCTTCCTTGAGTTTCCTCTCTGCCTCAGCAGCTTCCCTCTCTTTACGCTCTTCCTCTTCCTGTCTCTGCCTCTCCCTTGCCTAATCACCAGAAAGAAACATCCCATAAAGTTACACAGTAGACTTAAATCAAAAGTGATCTTGTAAACTCCGAGCAGAGAAACATACCTGATCGGCTTCAAGAGCTGCCCTGTAGGCAGCATCTTGTTCCTCTCTCAAGCGCAAATTTGTTCTCCTTTCCTCCGCCTCAACCCTAGCCGTTACCAGAACTGGTGAACTATCTTCTACCACTCTCTGCAATATAGCAAGCATCTCTTCTGGCGTTGTTGGTCCCTCGACCTGCCACAAGCAACCAGAACAAAGAACACTATAAACTTCACACCTATTAGACTCATAAAAGCTGGAGAGAACTTTCACAACAACTATCTTTACCCACTTTACTACTTATCACTTCAACAAGATAGTACAATGTTCTTGGTTCCAATGCAGTTCCCTAAGAGGACTAATCAAGTCTACCTAAAGTTCATATACATGTTTATACTACTAGAGTCCAATGCAGTTAGGCTAATCAAATCCAAGAATGACAGGATAAAGACGGTTTCTTTCTTTACCTGCTGAAGAAGAGCGATTCTCTGGTTAGCAGCAGGCATAACCACAGCGCAAAAAGGAAACCTTGAAGCCTTCAAGCTATTACTCATCTTAAACCCTTCACTAGACCGAATGCTACCTCCCCAGGTAACGAAATTCTCGTTCAAAAACGCCACAAACGTTTCGTTGCAGAGCGTCCTCTCGCAGAACGCAGGCGTATCAGGATGGTCTGGAGAGTGCAAGTAAACGAAAAGGAGCTTAAACGAGCTCCTTGACCGTTGAAGCGCATCCATGAACCCTTCGATTACGAAATCAGGCTTGAAAGGAGAGTTTCTCCCGTAATCTCTATCGAACAAGGCAACGAATTCCATTGCTTCACCTTCTGCTGAAGACGACACAACCCGAGCCGATGACGACGACGACGACTCAGAACCACCACCTCGACCTGATCCAAACCCTAACATACCAATCGAATACGATAAAACTCCACCCGCAGCCCAAAATCCGAAGCCGATCGCGCCGGAGACTAACCCTAAGCTGCCGGAAACGATCGAAATCGGTAAAGTGATAATCCTCCAAGCTATTCCCGGAGGTCTGAACCCTCCTCTTCCGTCGTCACGGAGAGCAAGTTCCGAATCGTCAACGATTCCGCGAGAAGGGTAATCGTCCAATCCGGGATTCGCGGTTTCAGGAAAGACGGCGGCTGAGCGATCGCGATTGGCACCACCATCGGCGTGAGAAGAGGAAGCGTCGACATCGTCGCGTGGGTCAGATGATGTGAAAGAGGAGATTGCGAGTTCGAGGTCCCAGCCATGAGCTTGAAGGATCTCAGTGCACAAATCGGGATCTTCGAGACCTGTAATCGCTTGGAAGTAACCCAATTTGTCGGCAGCGTCAACCATTATCACACAGACGGTGATCTAAATGTAAAACCCTGTTGATTTTTCCCTCGCTTTCCTCACAAAGCAGGGATCTTTCTCTCTCACTCCTTCTCTTCCTCTCTATCTCTCTTCTCTTATCTCTCTAGGAACTTGAAAACTGTGCTGAAAAAAAATCGTTGATCTGTTCAATGTAAATGACGATGGCCTCGAATTTTAATAAAAGTGTTAAATATCACTCTGATCTCCAAACGACGGCGTTTCGTTTAAACCGAAATCATATTGGTTCAATCAAAAGTTCAAAACCAGTTGGGACTTGGATAGCTAGATATGCTGTATAATTGCCTGTTTTACTCCATTGTGAAATTAGCAATTCATTTTTTTTTTCTTATATCATAATGAAAAAATAAAGGGCAGGGTAAAGGTATGGGACTTGGGAACTATATATCTAACTTTTTCTTAATTTTCTAAATTATTAATTTATAAATTTTCTCAAACTTCCTTAAAATATTGGTTATTGATTATGAAGTTAAATACTCGCATAACAAAAAAAAAAAAGAGAAAAAAAATCATGAATGGGGTTGCAAGTTCGTCAAATGTCCATGAGAGAAGGAGATTGGCGAGATGAAGATTCTTGTTCTCGAAGAAGGCGGTGTAAAGACGCTAACCCAAAGACCAATCTTCAGATTTCACCTCCGGTATCACGCTTTTAGCTACTTGTGCTACATATGGGTTTGATTCTATGCGTAATCAAGTTGGGGGAATTTCGAGCTATGACTTTGAAACTGATGATAACCCACATCTTTAGAATACTCTTCAAGTTTGTAATCGAGATTTTCTTCAAGTTTGTAATCGAGATTATGTTTTGTGACAAGTATTTTTGAAATGGATTAATTTGGAGATTTGGCTTTGTTTTTCTTCGATTCTCGTCCTGCTTAAAATTAGATTTCGTACATATTTATGGATTCGATTACTTAAATGCTTATGAATTCGATTTCATACAAAAAAAAGAAAAAAAAAAAGAAGTTAAACCATTGTTCAAATCGATTTCATACAAAAAAAAAAGAAAAAAAAAAGAAGAAGTTAAACCATTGTTCAAATCATTATGAAGAGATAATCATTTCCGAACTTTTTATCTTTTTTCTTATGGAACTCTTTTTAAGAAATTGATTTTCAATTCTTAGTTATTCCATTCTCATTCCGTTTTTGTTTCATATTCATAAACTTTTGTTATTTTGTCGGTTTTCATGTAGTTAAATTCATAAAAAAAATTCCTAATTTCCTCGGTTTTCACTAATTTTGTACATTTCATGAAATTACCCGTTTTAAAATTAAATTATTAGCCAACCCCAAATTACTGGAAAAAAATTAGATAATGGATTTTCCCAAATCCTTTTAGTCATTTGACCTTCTACTCTCTTTCTTATCGAATTCTCAATTATCTCATTCAGTTTGTTTTCGTTTCCGTTTCCATTTTCAATATCCATAAATCCTCGTCCCAAATCTCGGAAGTCAGTGTGAATTTTATTGTATACATTTCATTTCTACAAAGCAATGTTCTTTAAATCCTCCATTGATTAACCTAAGCTAAAGGAAGAATCTTTTGGGGTAAAAAGGTGAGTGATTTTCGTTTAACCAAAAAAACTCTCTTTCTCTGTTTAATTAGTGTCCTAATTACTCTGTAAATGACTTAAAAACTGATTAGATCTCAGAAACAGAGCTAAGCAAATGTTATTTAGGGGTTCTTCTCTTGCTTTGTGATTTTTTGAAGTAAGATGCTCTTATCCATTCAATCTCGACTGCTGGGTGTAGGAAATTCAACAAATTTTAGCTACTCGATTTGGGAATTGTGTTCTTGAGGTTTGGTGTTTCTGTAATTAGAAAAGTTAGGTCCTTTGATTGTTTCTAGCTCAATTTAGGATTGATTGTTAGCAACACTTAAAAATCTGTTTCTTGATCTGAATTTGCAGTTAATTTGAAGAACACCCCCAAAAGATGCAGGAAGCTGCCACTGATCAGTCACTCAACACCAAGAATGTCTTCTTGTCAGCTCTCCGTTTCGCCATGTCCATCGACACACTGAAGAACACTCCTGAGGTTGATCAAGAACTCAAAACCTCAGCTCAAGAACAAGTGGAGTTCATGCTATCTGAGCACAAAGAGGTACGGCTACTGATTTCTGAAGAGGAAGTGAAATCGGTAGTAAGACTAGGCATCTCGAACGCTATCTCGACGTTACTAGACAGATTATCATCTCTGCTTCATCGTCTTCCTGATTGTCCTGAGTTTGATGCTCTTACTACACTCTATGATATGGAGTGGCTGTGCAAAGTGTTGCCGAGGATGGAGTTGATGAAAGATCTTGTCTTTAAGTGGGCTGATGTATCAAACGAGATTCTTGTGATTGTTCAGAACTGTAAGTTGGATTGTAGGATATTGGGTGTGAAGGTGAAGCTAGTTGAGGTTACAGGGAAGGTTTTAGAAGCGGTGGGTTATGGAGTTGTGATTGCTCCTTCAAGAAGCAGAGCTTGTCTTGTGAAGAAATGGTTGCCTTTCATAAGAAAGTTGAAGACTTTGGTTGATGCAGAAGGATCTGAGTCTTGTGAGTATAGAATGGATGAAGATCTTTGTGAGTTCATTGAAGGATCTATGGTGTCTTTGGTTTTGACATTGCCTTCTAATGATCAAGCAGAGGTGTTTGGGGAATGGATGAGAGGGATTGGGTTGGAAGGTGTGAAGTTTCCGGATTTGAGTGAAGCTTTTGAGGTTTGGTGTTATAGAAGTAAGTCTGCAAAGAGAAGGTTGTTGGAAAGATGTGACAGACTTGCAATTGAGAATCTTTCTCTCTAAGTTATTCAAAGTCCCAAGCTTTCTTCTTCCTTAAGATGGTCTGTTGATTTCCATGGTGGAAGAAAGGCATGAGCTTTGTTGAATTTAACCAGCGAGAAGGAGAAATTGAAGAGCTAGGGATTCAGAGGACCTCTCATGCCTTATCATATTGTGGTAACATTTTTTCATCTTCACTCTCTGTTGATTTGCTAGCTGCTTCACTGTAGTCCTGGATTGTATTAGGAGTAATTCTGATCTTGATTTATTATCTGATTCGATCAGTCTGTGTTTCAGCTATCGTTTAAGTTAATATGTTAAGAAACCAACTGCAAAAAACAGAGGTCAAAAAACATTTTTACCATGGACATGTTTATAAACTTGTAAACATTTTTAACATAAAACAACCATCAAAGAAATATTTAGCTCAAATGTTAAACTATAACATGATCAAACATAGACTTTGACTTATTAACAAAGAAAAATCAATAGTATAACACGACAATAAAGGGGGTTTTATTATTTATGAACGATAAAACATACAGACACAACAACGATAAACATTTGACAAAATTCAAAAAGAAAACAAACACCAAAACATAACAAAATTCAAAACAAACAGAAACAAAAACACCAAAAGCATAGGAACACCAAAAAAAAAAAGCACCAAAAGCATGACAAGTTAAACCCCCCAAAAAACTATCACTTTGTTGTTAAAGCTCAGCCACTTTCAGGGGACTTGTTCCCAGCTAGCTCCATTATCTTGACTTTCTCTTTTGAGCATATGAATATTTTCTTTACCATCTTGCAAAACTCGCTGCACAAAAAAATTAATCATTTTTATTAATTTTCCTAATCTTATGAAAGAAAGAGAGAGTGTAGAAACGTACGGCCATGGATCATCTCCAACAAGCATCACATCTCCTTCATTATCCTTGAAAACAATTTCCCAGTGATTGTTCATATGGAGCTCGTCTTTGAGATCAAAGAGTTTCTCCAGTTCATTGATCAAGTGATTGTATCCATCAAGAAGAGTTAAGTCCACAACTCTTCCTATGCCTCTGTCTTGCATGAAAACCTGTTCAATAACCAAATTAATTACGTTAAGCAGAATGGTCTTAATCTATTAGTGAAAATTATGAGAATTTGTTATTTAAAAGTATATCTAATGTATTAAGATAAAAATCAAGGATGTTAGTATATATAAAATTCAATTTCTTCTTCTAATAAAGAGAATTTTTAATCATACTTGTGTTCTCTAATGTTCTAGTTATACATTAAGAAGATGAAGACTTTTTTTTTCATACCTTGGTACGACTTCCTGTAGATATGATTTGCTTGCCTTTAATTTCTTTTGGTGACGTCAAATTTTGGATTTGGTCAAGCTTTTTTTCTTCCAAGATTTTGAAATCTATAGCTTTCTGGTGTGAGCCATTTGGTTCCATGTGATCTTCCGCCATCAGATCAACTCCAAACAATCTGTAACTAGCTGTAGCATCGGTGGTCATCTTTTCTTTCACATGCACAACCATTTGGTCGTTAGAGTTCACTTTGGGAATGGTAGGGACTGAGTGGTTCATCAACCAACTAGATGGACTCTTGGAGTCGTCCGTTGCATTACGCTGACGAACACTTATCGAAGAGGTCATGCTTGATTGTCCAATTTCCTGACCTCGAGTCAATGTATGAGTCCAAAGTTTTGAACCTACAAACAAAAATAGAATGAGAAACGTTCGCAAAGAAACTTTAACTTATTAAACAATATTTTCTTACCAGTTTCATTACTATCATGTGAACGTTTATTCTTGAGCAAAGCTGATTGGAGAATATTAGATGGAGATGCATAATGCTCAATCTCCCAGGGTGAAACCTTATCAGGTCTTGGAATCGATGCAGCCTCGTCCCATTTCACCTAGAAAAAACAGAGTTAGTGTTATTCAAGTGTAATTTATTACTCCTTCGAAATGATATTCTAAAATAATGTAATAAAAGTTGGAGCTAGGAAAATCTCACTTCTAAGCTTCGCCATTCTGAATCTTTCCAATGCGAGGAGAAATCTTTTTTTCCCACAATTTTCCCAGAATATCTTTTGCCATGGAAACACAAAAATATATATTAGTAACACATTTTGGAGAAAAAAAAATGATTAGATGTTCAAGTTTTACCTTAATTCAGTAAAATCAGCACTCTCAAACGGCATGGTAAATCTCGAGTGTACATCGAACTTTTTATTCATTGCATCTACAAATTTTTCCAAGCTGATGATGAATTGGCTTGACCTGTATTATCATATCAATAACAAAAATATAAACATAATTAGTTAAAAAAAAAAAACAAATCTCATGATGTTTTAAGTAGAGAGTGACAAAATGTTTTTCCATTACCTTGGCTTATAAAACACAGTGATCACATCTTCGTTCTTAATAGCATTCCATACAGAAGCAGTTACTCCATTGTATATATTCTCTTTTGTAATTATTGATGAAGGTATATTGCCTTGTTGATGAGATGCTCTTCTGATTCCAACTAGTGACTCCCCATTCTCTCCTCTTGAACAAGAACATAGTTAAGAATCCAAATACAAGAAACAAAAGATATGCAATGTTGGAATATATATATATACCTGATGAAAACAAATGAGTCCCCAGCGACTAATTTTTTAGCAGTCGCGAATGTACTCCAACCAGTGGTAAAGAGATGTCTCTTTGGTGTACCTACATAATTGTTTGCCGATAAACAAAGATTAGTAATCACTATTACATAACTTGATATGAAAAATACTCATTACCTCTATATATGTGCTTAAATCTCCATTCATAGCCATTGAGGTCCTTAGCAACTATTTCCTGACTCGGTGTAGGCTGAGACATATCCTAAAAAAAGATTAATACAAATTGTTAGAGTTTGAGTGAGATGTGAGTTTATTAGATTAAGAAACTTAAGTGTAAATTATACCAGTGGAGGAAAACATTCAATGGCATGTCTTTTCAAGATAGAAAATCCACCATGTGTACTGCTATCTGAGGCAGTTAAAACTTTTGTGAAATATTTTGTCCTTTCATGAATGGCATTAGGAATAGGGGTTCTAACTTCCTGAAAAATTACAAATTCCAAAAATTATTTGAGATTGATTACACAAAAACCTGCTATAAAATTATAAATAAAACTTCGTATTTTGCCACTTACAACTGTATCTAGAACCAAAGAAATCTTAACAAATACTTCATCAGTATCGTTATCCACCTAAAATCAAACATAAAACATGTTATAAGTGACTGCTTTATGATGAAATAATATATACAAAATAAATATTATTTATAGTCTAGGCCAATTTAGCTTTTGTGTATCTTTTACAAATAAACATCATCTTATATATAATTAGGGAGTTGTCTCTCCATTTAGGCTATCCACATTATCACATAATGCATCACACTATAATAATTAATTTTAAATTAAATTGTACTTAAATATTTTTAAAACACATATTTATTCAACAGCATATATTCATATCTAAAACATAAATAAGAATAACAAAAATACACACAAAATTAATTAATTAGTATAAAGTATATGTTATAACTTAGTGTTAAATGCTAAAAAAAATTATAATATAAACTGAAGATAATATAAAGAAATATTTAAATTTAAATAGTATATTCAAAAAGTGGTATAAAAGAATTATCCTATTCAAAAATATTATAATGTGTTTATGAATTAAAAAGTGTATAACATAATTTAATTAATATAATAAAAATTTAATGAGAAATTAGAGTTAGAATATTTTTTACAAACAAATTGAATTCTAGTTATTATATGGAAATTTTATTGCAACAAAAAATGAAAATTTTAAAGATTGTGATATGTTTGTTTCAAAAATACAATTTATATTTACAAAACTAACATAAATACATAATAGAAATTAATCAATGGTCATCATGCTTAAACGCTAACACAATAAAGCATATACGTAAAAAGTTATACATATTATTTTATACCATATTTCATGCAAATGTGATTCTTCACCATTTTTACAAATTCTAATATCGAGTCAAATGCATACTTATAGTCTAACACATGTTAAATTTTAGAAAGAGAAAACTCGAGATGAATTGTAGAATTAACATGTAATAAAAAAATGATCATATCTTTAGTGTGAGTGATTGGAATAACTCAAAATATAACCAAAAATTAACACAAAGCCATCAAATTTTAAATTATCGAATATAAATAAAATCAATCGGAAAATGTCTCAAATAACCCTATGCCTGTGCAGGGCTTCAAAATCTAGTTATCATAGTAATATACCTTAGGCTCAATACCACTCTTTAAAATTAATTAAACATCTATATTTGTGAAATATACCTTAAGTTCAACATCATTAACTTTGCACAGAAGCTTTGAAGGTATATCATCAATTGGTTTCATTTGACACAAGTCAGCTTTGGTATATCCCTCAAGCTGAAAATGCCATAAAATTGTATGAATAGTTTCACAAACCAAAACGGAATAGAAAGAAAACATAAAATGGGAACTAAAGAAAAACTCACATATTGAATGTATCCCTGAGGAAAGTAATAAACTTTTTCTCCAATTTTTGGAACATAAAACGAAGGTCCAGCACAGATTTTCCATGCCTTATTGTACAAATGGCTATTGATTCCATCCACTGATAAAAGAAACAATCATTATCACAAAGAAATATTCAAAGAAATTGAAAACTAAACTCAAAAAACTAAAAATTCTCACTTATACATGGAAGATCGGGTTGCGCATTCATAACTTGGTTATTTGCCATCAGCTCATATACAAACAATGGTTGAATGAATTTGCCTGTTTAAACACGCTCGTTATTTATCTTGTTATATCATAAATTTGATATATTACATATATTTATAGTTAAAATTACTGAATTTCTCATTAATATTTTCCTAAGACTCGAACTTCTTTGACTAAAAAATTACCAAAACAAAATATATTAAACAGGTAAGCAAGTATCTTTTAGAAATATCGAAAGTTCTTCAATTTCTAATTAATCGTGTTTCCAAAATTATATTCAAATATTCACATAAAAGAAACGAATAGTTAAGACCCACCTCAAAACTAGATGGATCTACTTTCAGACGAACGAGAAAAGTAGATCCATGTAGTGCCTAAGGCAGAGTCTCTTGATTTTCTTTTTTTTTGAAGTCCAACAAAAATGCCAAACGCTGAGTCTCTTGAAACTTTATCCGGAAGCAGTAGGATTTAGCAAGGCTATGTGAAAAAGCTTAATGAATTATGAGATGTTAGGATTTCTTTTTCACATAATCGTTTGTTAGGATTTTGAGATGAACTATACATGGCTAATAAAGCTCTCACATAATGGTTGAATGAATGAGTGCTCTACTTTCTCCAATCTATTAGATTTGGTATTTTCACCTTACAAAACTTAGGACATATTTCCGGGTGTTTAGAACGAATTTAATCTTTGGTTGATGAAAAAAAGATAAAAGGAATATGAAAGTGCAGAAGATGTAGCTTAAGCCATTCAAAGCCCTAAGCTTTTCTTCTTCTTCTTCCTTAGGCTTTGTACATGATATCTGAATTCTTGATTTTTAAAAACTAAACATCATTCATCTACCATAAAAGTCCACAAGAGCCAACAAAAATACAGGGAATCTCAAATTCATTAGCAAAACAGAACTTAGCTCATAGAGCCCAAATAACATTTTTTTAGTTTACCATGGAGCTGACGCAGTTGCCTGATACTGAAGCTTCACATCTTCAAGCTGTTGTACAATCATTTCTTCACATGACTTACTCTGATCTATCTCTTTCTCCACCTCCTCATTCTTCCTTTGCAGCGCGAGAATCTTGCGTTGGTTCTCAACCTTTACGCTCTCTTTCTCTGCAGTCACTTTCTCAGCACCTTTGAGTTCCTCCATTTTGCTTGCTTGCTTATCTCTGAGAGACAAGAGCTTATTGATCCGCAACACAGGCATTTTAACATCGAACCCGTGTTTCTCTAACTCAGCAAATGAGTCATTGAGGCTAGTTAGTGACCTTGTGGGATCTTCAGGTTGCAGATCTTTGACTGCCTCTAGTAATCCAGAAAAGGTAAACATCAATCCAACCGCAGACATCTCACGAGAATCTTCTCTACTCTCCAACAGTGGAATGAAATGAGGACTTTGTGGGAACATTTTGAATACCTCCATTGATTCAAATGTCTTCCATATTGGTAACTTCTTCTCAAAGGGCAAAACCGTTGTTATATCTTTTGCTTCGTTTTCCTCAACGATAGCAACAGAAGTAAGGTCTCTCTTCCTCTTCCGACTGTTATCTTCGCTAGCTTCCTGCATAAGAAGTTTGAAATCCCAAAGAAGAACAATCATGATCAGGATTAAGATAATAAGCCACACCAGCTAATAAACTACCAAGAAAGTAATCTAAATTTACATTCTCTCGTGTTGAATCGTTTCCTAGGCCATTCTGATCTCTCGGAAGTGTCTTGTTTACTGGCCCTTGAGTTAACAGCGATTCCCTTGACTGCAACATAATACAAAAGACTCTCAATAGCAAACAGTCATAAAGAAGCAAGATTTAAGCTGAAGTTCTAAACCTGAAACGGCTGTTACTTTTTCTATTAACAGTCTTGCAAACAGTTCAAAACAAACATTCAGTGCGTAAGAAGAACGTTACGTACCTTCCAAACGCCGTCTTCCCACACCTTCGATGGCCTAATATCCGAGAGTTTGCAACTCACTTCCTTGTTTTCAGCATCTATAGTCACTAGACCCCATTTCCGAGGGAGAATTCTGATCATTCGACCTTGACGCCATGATGCCCAATGAAACACCTCTATATACTCCAACGACTGATACTCTTCAACCGAAAAAGGAGGCGGTCTCGGTCTAACTCTACTCCAGTCAACGGTTATGATGGGTCTTCCCTTGACACCCTTGAAGCTCAAGTTATCAGCACAAAGCTTGACAAGATATTTCTTCTCATCACTCTCATTGATCTCTTTGATAATCATTGCAGGACCCCAGACGATCTCTGTTTTGTTCTTCAAAGAACTCACTTCCACCGGTGTTCCAGAGCTAAACATGGACTCCTACAGTAAAATTAAGCCCTTTTCACAACTCAAAGCCTCAAAACAGACAAAAGCAACAAAAACTGAGAAGCAATGTCAGTCAGGTTACCTGTACATATGGTCGTGGTATCTCAAACCATTTCTCATCGACCCAGTCAAGATGTGGCCTCAAATGCTTTCTCTCAAACTGAATGATATCAGGTGGTGTATCGAACAGCACCAGAAACTTGTCACTCTCAATTCGTTTGACCACAAGACCAGTGCACCAGCACCACGAATCTGTAAGATCAGCGTCGACGACGGAGCCTTCCTTGATATGGACGAGATCTTCCAAATATTTTGGCGGAACGGGTCGAAACCAGGCCTTTTCGGTGAGTTCGGTGAGAAGAGTCAAAGAATCATCCTTAAGCAAACGGACACACCGTTCTCCGAGTCTAGGTTTGGGATTGGCCTCGATAACGGCTTTGTACCAAACGTTTTTAAAGACATTGTTTTTATAACAGAATTCGACTTCACAACCTTCCATCATGAAAAGCTTATCACTCGGTATGGTGCTCATGCTTGATTACTCAACAGTAGAAACCAAAAACACATAAAACTGAACGCAAAAATCGAACCTTTTTTTCTGTAGAAAGAAACCCTAAAACTGAAATGGGGGTAAATGCAGTTTCTTGAAAATCTTAAAAGAATGCCCACTTTCCAAAATATCTCCTTTTTTCGTCATGCCACGTTCGAAATTAAGTTTTAGAAAATTCTAGTTTGCAATTAACCGGCTCCATTCTAAAATGCAGTCAAAATGCAGCACGCCAAAGTTGAACCTTTTTTCTTTTCTTTATGCAACATAGGTTAGAGACATTTTTAACTTCGGCGAAAAGATCATGAAAAACGAGTTCGTCTGAGTCCTTCACGATAACAGCTGATTGTCGAAGATATACTTGGTAGGACCGAATCCATCGAACTTTTTGTTTTTTTATTTCACATCATTTAGATAATTTGTATTCAAAATGCAAGTAACAGAGAGAATTTATACCAGAAGTAATGCAAGCTTGATCAATATTCTTCTTATTCTTATTTATAAGAAGCAAGTACAACTATTCTTAGTTTTGAGCAAACAAAGAACTGTTAATCGATATAGGAAGATGAATCAATATATTTAAAGGCCTCAGATTTCAAGAAGAGAGATTGAGAAACACCATGGTGAGATAAAAAAAAAACATTTACATCAAGTAACCAACATAAAACACTTACAGAGAGTTTTCTTTTCCCCTAAACATCATCATCTCATCTCCCAAGTCACTAAAATTTGTCACATAAGCCAACTATGATAGAAAGTTCACGTGTAGGGAAGCAAACCAAAAAGAGTAATGATTGCAGATTAAATAACTTTCTGTGGTCCTCAGAATAATCATTATATGTGCCTCAACATAGCAACTTTTCAAATTGCTTTAGCAATTGGAACGATGAGTTTAAACTCATCATTGGACCACCAAGCAAAACACTATCTATTATCTACATGAAACCGATCTACGTACCTACCAAGTAATGCTTTTCTATCAATAGAAAGGCTTCTCAAAACAATGTAGAAAACCACATTTTCTTTCTAAAGTTGATTACAGATCTAATGCAAGGACTGAGGTAAACTTACAAATACTCCAAAATTAAGCCAAGAAACAAACCTCAACTTCCAATAGAAATGTCCTTGCTAATCAATATACATTTTCAACTACTACAATCCTTATAAACTAATAAGATCGCCAAAACATCAACACAGTGAAATCTTGCCTGTAGATTAACCAGATAACACTCGCCAACAAGGTTCTCAAAACCGATAAGGAAAATAACTCAAGTACACAAAGATGATATATGGTGATTGACCACACAAAAGAGATTTACACAATCAGAAAACACACAATTCTTTAACAAAAGTGAAATCTTGCCTATGTCTCCCTCTGGTTCTCAACAGCAAATGATTATACGTATCTTAACATAAAAATTTAGAAGCAGGCATGCACAAAATTGAAAATTTGGAATTCGTAATCTGGTTGCATATAGCAAGTACAAACAATAACCATATGGCAACTTTTGTAAACTTCAAAACAAAGAAAAATCAATCAGAAAATCAAATTCCAAACCAAGCTTATACATATAAATAAACTTCACAAATCACGAACAAAGAACAACCATATTCGTTCAAATGCAAAAGTATAAAACAGTTTACATTAGGAGAACAGAAAGAAAAATCAAACATCGAATCTGGGATATACAATCAAAAGTTCTGAACATCATACATATCAGATCTACGAACTACAAGCCCCACACCACCGATTAGGAGGGTAAAATTAAAACAAAACCGAGGGATTTTACCGGAGAGGAGCCGGAGAAGCTAAACGATGTCGTCTGGGTGAGGAGCGGCAGAGAGAGCAAGGGGGCGGCTATGGGCTTCTTCGTTGTCGTCGTCATCATCGGAGGTTGACAGGTTAACGCAGGAGCAACGCTCGAGGGAGGCGAAGAAAGCGGAGATTACGGTGGTGCCGACCCAGCTCGCCGCCTGATCGAGCTTTTCGAGAGAAGCCGTGCTAATGTTGGAAGCGGCAGAGGAGGAGGAGTTGATGCTGCTGCTGTTATCCATGGCTTTCCGATTCGATTGAATTTCTCAGAGGATCAAAGATCGTGTTTAGGGATTTGGGGATTTTGAAACGAGGAGAAGGAAATTGGGGATTTTGACGATGCAGAAATGGAAATGTAATTACGTCAATATAGTATTAATCATTACTGTAATTATTATGGACGTTTATTAGTCAATGGTATGGGCCTAATCACTTGTCTTAAAGCCCACGAACACCACTATCATTCCTCCTCGTGTTGTTGTTCGAAAATGGCTCAATTAAATTAGTGATTTGCTTTTCCCTCAATCTTTAGTAGTAAGAACTTTTATAAAACTAAATAATCTTATCATTTGTGAAGTTTTTCCTTTGAGTACTGTGTTTTTACCCTAGTAATTTAGGAGTGCTCTTCGTTTTTTTATCTAAATATTATTAGTTGAGAGAAAGCTATATACGGATAAGAAGAATGGCTTAAGATTTCAGTTATTAACTCTCTCATTCTCTTAATCCAGAAATGAGTACAAGCTCAAGCTTAAATACAAGCAAGACTACAATAACCAATTCCAAACATAAACTTACAAAAACCAACTATACATTCTCTAAATACTATAAACTTGATTTCAGTTTAGAAACATTAATACTGGCTGGATAACAAATTTTGTGTTTATGTAGGCGTAGAAAGAATAATACAAATTTAGGTCAAATTTTATAATGCGAACTAGCGATGTTGGCAATGGCATGTTGCTATGCGGATGACTTTTTGAGCTGGAGATGGAAATATACTAGTAAATAATAAACTGTAATTGAGAATGTAGAACAAAAAGCGCATCTGGTGTAGTGGTATCATAGTACCCTCCCACGGTACTGACCAGGGTTCGATTCCCTGGATGCGCAATTGAATTTTTTTTATCTTACCTTTTCTATCCAATTTTTAGTCTAGTTAGTACTGACCTGGTGTAGTGGTATAGTAAAGACGTCTCATTCCATGCCAATATCATGATATTTAAACATGTGATACACAAATAATCAAATCAACCCTATTCGCAGACAAGACCTGGCTTTGTGTTAATCTGGTCTATCAAGACAAGTAATCATCGTCTTCTTTTTTTACTTCCTTCTTCCACAACTGAATATCCCGAGAGAACATGAACATGAACCTGTCTTGGGTTAATATGGTGTATCAAGCTTGCAAGTTGATAAATCGTATTCATAATCTAAAGACAAGGCGGCAATTTTGCTTACAAAAGAGTTTGTCACTTGGGCTGAACCGAACATGTTAAATCTTTTCCTACTCTTGTCAGGAAAAATACACCCTCAAAAGCTACACTAGGGCAAAGAGGGATACACACGTCTATTAACACTACGGAAGTTCATTACCACTCGTCACTGAGGTTGTCATTGCATTCTTCAAAATGATACCACAGAGTATATCATTATCTAGTCATCATACGTGATACGTGTCAGGATGATTGTAGACATCATCAGTGATCAGACATGTCGTAAACGTACTCATCGCTGTCCAATTCGACTTGTACTACTACTTCTTCTTCTTCTCCAAATAATAAAATAAATGACCGGAAAGATCATAGCAATCAGCGAGATCGTCATCAGGGTGTCTCAAATCTTCGATCCTCTCATAACATCGTTTCTTCAGATCCCCGTCAAGGTGAACGTCGAAACAGCGGCGTAGATCAAGGCGTTTCAGGTGAAGACAACCGTCAAGAATGGCGTTCAAGCCCTTGTCGGTTAGTGCATTCCCACGAAGCTGGAGATATCGTAGTTCAGGCATGCTTTCAGCGATTGCCATGGCATCGTCATCATCTTCGAACCTGTTTTCACAGCTGTCGTTTAGCTTCAATGTCTTCAGATTTGGAAAAGACTGGCCTGCAACTTCCAGTGACGATACACTGTCTGAAACTTCGAGGTATTCGAGCAATGGAAGTTTCACAACTGCTTCCACCAATCCTTTGTTTGTTATTCCATTGCACATTACAAGTTTAAGGCTTCTCAGATTACTCGACCTGCGAATGTAGGAACCATTGTGAAACACTTCGTTAACAAAAACTTGTAACTCAATGGATCAAAGATGAATCTAGTTAGAGAGAGTGACGCAAAAAAAAATTCCAAAAATCAATCACAACCTAATCTATAATAATATCCCCAATTCTCACAAGTACAAAATTCCAAAAATCAATCACAACCTAACAAGCATTCCCAATCACTCATCTTTCATATCTGAACCCTAGAATTGGCATATCCTGATGCAAGGAGTGAAATAAAAAAATTCTCTGAAGAAAACCAAAACTGGCAGTGTTTTGAGTAAGAGAGAGAGAGAGAGAGAGAACCTATCGGCGATGTAACTGAGAAGCTCATCAGTACCGAAGTGCCAAATGTCGATCTCGAGCAAGCCGCCTTGGCTGCGATCAACTGCGTGACGACACATGATCTCGGCGCCATAACCCAGTCTTCTCAAGTTTACGAGCTTGCACATTTCAATTTTCCGCCACATCGAAGCTTCTTTACAGACGCCACGCCACGATCTGCACACTCTCTGTGCGTTTTCCAGTATCTCAATCGTGTCAAGCCGGACCAAAATCGATGATATTATCTCCGGGGTAGATCCGCCCAGTTTCCATATCTTCGGTCTTTCATCACCGGAGGTAGAGACGATGACGACGGCGACGGCGACGGCGACGGCGACGGCGACGGCGACAGATGAAAACGGCAACAGTGAAGTAGCGTGTGTAGTCTCAGGATTCTCAATAAATTATAATTAGGTCCTCATAGAGTTACACATTTACGAAATTCGCTCGAGCCATAAAACTAATAAGCCCACTCAAATAATTTATTCGGCCCTAGGCCCATAACTATATACATTTGATCATTATCGTAGTAAAATGGCTCAATATGTTGACTTCTTCAAGCCAGCTCTCTCTCTTGAGAATAAATCTTGCAAACATAGACAAATAGGAACATATAAAGAACAAAAAAACATGACCGAGTTCATAAATCACAAATTTTATGAATTATGGACTTTCGAGTTACTGCTAAAAAAATATTGACAATGAGTAAAACACATAATGTTTTTGCATACCATTCGTCCATTCCACATATTTCTGAACTATTTATGTATGATATGGGCATATGGCTTACATTTAAAACATTGTCAACTTGCAGTTTTCTTTCAATATGGGCGGCAATTCTTTGGCGGCTTCAACTTGCAGTTATAATCATATTAAAAACAACTTGCCATACATAGGAATTTTATTCAACAAACTTTCCATCATTACTCTCGTAGTGGATAGTTTTTGGAGATGCAGAGATTAGCAAAAATGGAGGAAAAAGAAGAAGAAGCACTTCACGTAGCCATGTTCCCATGGCTAGCTATGGGTCATCTTCTTCCTTTTCTTCGTTTCTCAAAGCTTCTAGCACAAAAAGGTCACAAAATCTCCTTCATTTCAACACCAAGAAACATAGACAGACTTCCCAAATTACCACCAAACCTCTCTTCCTCCATAACCTTCGTCTCTCTCCCTCTCCCTCCTTTCCCCAACTTACCTCCTTCCTCCGAATCCTCCATGGACGTGTCTTACAACAACCAACAATCTCTCAAATCCGCCTTCGATCTTCTTCAGCTACCATTAACGGAAATTCTCCGAAGCTCTTCACCGGATTGGATCATATACGACTACCCTTCTCACTGGCTTCCCTCAGTCGCGACGGAGCTCGGAATCTCCAAAGCTTTCTTTAGCCTCTTCAACGCCGCCGCTCTCTGTTTCATGGGACCGCCTTCGTCGCTCATAGAGGATTTCAGATCCACGCCGGAAGATTTCACGGTGGTTCCGCCGTGGATCCCGTTCGAATCGGAGATCGTGTTTCGTTATCACGAAGTCGCTAGGTACGTCGAGAAAACAGAGGAAGATGTAACCGGAGTCTCTGATTCCGTCCGGTTCGGTTACTCGATCGGTGAGAGCGACGCGGTATTCGTACGCAGCTCCCCGGAATTTGAACCGGAGTGGTTTGGTTTACTACGTAATTTGTATAAAAAACCGGTCTTTCCAACCGGGTTTCTCCCTCCGGTTAACGAAAACCACGACGGCGATGATGATGATGCTGCTTGGGTTTGTATAAAGGAATGGCTCGATAAGCAGCGAGTTGACTCAGTGGTATACGTGTCTTTAGGTACTGAAGCGAGTCTTCCTCAAGAGGAACTCGCTGAGCTAGCTCTTGGATTGGAGAAATCGAAAGTGCCGTTCTTTTGGGCTCTAAGGAACGAGTTGACTCGGGTTAAGCCAGAGATTCCGAACGGGTTCGAGGAACGAGTTAAGGGACGAGGGATGATTATGGTTGGGTGGGTTCCTCAGGTGAAGATACTGAGTCACGAGTCAGTGGGTGGGTTCTTGACGCATTGTGGATGGAACTCGGTGGTGGAAGGGTTGGGTTTTGGAAAAGTTCCGATCTTTCTTCCGGTGTTGAATGAGCAAGGACTGAACACGAGGCTGTTGCATGGGAATGGGATTGGTTTTGAGGTGCCAAGAAATGAGAGAGATGGATCGTTTGATTCTGACTCGGTTGCTGACTCGGTTAGATTGGCTATGGGTGATGATGATGAAGGCGAGTCGAGGAGAGCAAAGGCGAAGATGATGAAGGGTTTGTTTGGTAACACGGATAACAATATCCGTTATGTTGATGAACTTGTAGCTTATATGAGAAGTAGCAAAAATTCATCATCTCATTAATGATAGAAATACATTTCTATTAGCAAAGATTAATTTGAAAAACAAACTGTCTTTGAGCTTCTTGATATAAATAAAAATCAACAAGAAGGAAAAATAAGGCAATAATATTTGTAACCAGCTTTAATGAAAATCAAAAGAAAAATTTAGATGAAGTGGATGTTGTTGCATTTTGATGAAACTTTAGGGAGAGCTAAGAGATTAGCTCGCAAGAACTCACTCTTGTTCTTCTTGTTGGCGTCAACACCAACTCTCACAGTTTCAAGACATTTCAACTTCCCTAAAATCATCTCCAATGGACCCTTATTCCTTTATAATTTAAGGGGTTTTGCATTCCAATGGACCCTTATCCCCTTATATTTTAAAGGGATGAATAGTGCACCCTTAAATATAAGGGGTCACTGTTCACCCCTTAAAAATATTTTGAATTTGCATTTTAGTCCTTGTAATTATACAATCTTACAAATAACATTTATAATACTTTTTGTGATCAGTTTAGTCTAAAATTATATTTTTTTTTAACATTTACTCTCTCTAATAAGAAATTTAATTACCACCACATAAAATCAAATAAAAACATTCATTGATTGGAAAATTATGGAAACAATAATGTAATTTTAGTTTAATATTTTTATATATAATTTTATGTTTTAATGTAATTTTATATTATTATGTAATGTTTTAATTAATAATATTGTGTAATATTTTATTAAAGTGTTTTTATTGCATTTTGTGAAAGTTTTAGTATTATAATTGATTCTAGTTACTTTTAAGGACTATAATGCAAAAATATTTTTTTAAGGGGTAAGGATAAGGGTCTCCATTGGAACAAAACTTACAAACCCTTATTTTAAAGGTGTGTCCCCTTTATTTTAAGGGTGACTATTGAAGATGCTCTAAGAAATGTCTCATCTGTTTTAGCTCTTGGAAAGAACCTCCGTAACTTGAAACCTCCAACACCTTCACTTGACATGTCCGTAAACAAGATACTATCACTACCTCCTCTTTCACAATCTTCTTCTTATTCTTCTTCTCTCGCTTCTTCTTATGGATGCAAGCGCATGCATCTCCACACTTATCTGTTACTTTATGCAAAAGACACTTGATGGCTAAAGTGGTTAGATTTGGACAATGACTGAGCAAACGCGGCATTACTTGCCAACCTTTCTTCTTGTTACTCTCAATAGACAAGTTAAGGATATTGTTGAACACCGGCATGGATTTACAACAGAAATGAAACACCTCAAGAGAATCAGGAGACAAGTGAAGCGTCGTAATGTTGCTTATACCCTTAAGTAGTTTCGTTACATCACCAAACACCTCCCTTTGTACATGATCACAACAACAATCACAATCGTTATTTGGCTCCCATAACTTGAGATTCAGCTTGACTTCCACAAGCGAATCCAAATCAAAAACCCTATAATCCTCAAAGACAACACTAGAATAGTCAAGGTACACAAGACTCGGATCTTTCAAATAGGTTTGATCATAATACTCTTTAGAAGAATCAACATCATACGGAAGATTGATAGAAACCACAAGTCGCTTGATTGTTTCACTCTCCACAGACGCTGCGCAACACGGCGGACACGGATCATTACCACCATCATCATCATCGGCTACGAATAGCTCTTCAAGCACAGGGCAGCCATTCACGAGCTTAACATAGTCGTCGAAATCAAGCCATACAACCGATAAGACAGAGAGTGACTTGAGCGCAGAGAGAAACACATCCACTTTCTCTTCCATACCGAGACGGTAATTACCGGATAACGTGAGCTTCACAAGTGTGTTGCTCGTTAGTAACTTTCTCTCTATATAAACTAGATCTCTGGTGCATTCCAAGTGTAGTTCCAACAAACCTCCTTGTTCCATTGTAGTCCAGATCCAACTGTAGACACGAGAGTAATCATTACGGTGGGAGACTCTGCCTCGATGAGACAGAGAAAATTTCTTGATTTTGTTGTTGTTGGTGGGAGAGTTATTTCTGAACAGAGTATTGACTACAAAATCTAAGAAGCGCTTTGAGCCACTTTTTAATTCTTTTTCGTTGGGATAAACAACCATTGACTCGTCGAAGCTAAGTACGTCTACAAGTCCCAGAAGATTCCTCCATCTCTTGGACATAACCGATGTTGAAGCAACTAGCTTTGTCGGAAGTAGAGACAGGATTTTGCCAAGAATCTCATCCGGCAAACTGCTGATCCTATCTCTAGAACTCATATTATATTAAGGCCACTCGATTAAGGTCTCACAAATTACAACTTTTGCAAATCAATCGATATAAGCGTGCGGAATCAATTGATGAGCTTGCTTTGCAAATTACAACGTCGACAACTGATAAACGTAGAGAGGTTAAAGAGAGAGATTGCCCTACCGTAGAGAGGAAGATATGTTTTGGGCCTAATGGGCTTTTAAATTAGGCCCATCATGGAGAAACCGCTGATACGGCGGCTTTGGTCGCACAAAACGTCAAAAAGAATAGTGGTTATAGTCAAACTATCAACCGAAGCCCCCTAGAACCAAAACGAAAAGCTTTTCACTGACCCTTCCAATGGCAATGGCTTGGCCGCTCGGGGATACATTTAACCATGTTTGTTCTGCATTATGAGATACTTATTCATTATGGCTTGATGTTAGTGAAAATTTGTCGGGTGTTTGCATGGTCTCACCTACCATAGCAAATTCGCAATGACTATAAACTTACAAATTAAACTAATAAACTGCAGTGTTTTCTTGTGACTAATAAATATTCAGATAAATAATATTAAGCTTTCCAAAAGGTGAAACATATACATCCAATAAATTAAAATCCAAAATTCATTAGTGGATTATTAAAGTGACAAAGATAGTTAATTATAGCTTGAAATATACTTTAGAATTATATAGAAGTTTGCTCCTAATTATGGTGACATGGACTGTCAAACGTATCTTATCACATGATATATAGATTCACACAACACAGACTGAGCTGGTTTTGTGTTCTCTTTCTTTTATCACTCTACTTATTGTTTAACTAAAAAAAAAAGCTTTTTAATTGGTTGGTCGATCATTACCAAATAGCAAGCTGATATTGTATTGGCGAGAAAAGAAGTTGCTGTTCTTTAATACTTCCTCCGTTTCAAATTAATTGTCGTTTTGACAAAATGTATGTGCAAATATTTGGATGTATCTGCAATACAAAACATATCCAGATACGTCTAAATATTTGCAGATACATTTTGCCTAAACGACAACTAATTTGAAATGGAAGGAGTAGCTGGCACGAGCCTATCTTTCCTGTCAATTCGACGTGGCAGTGGTTGGAAACATTTGTGAGAGACGTCGAAATTTGTTTTTTGGGCGGTGATTTTACTACAGCTGCAACTAAATAGGGTTGACACATTATCGCGACGAAGAATAAAGCATGTATCGACCAAACTGATAGCAAATAGGAAAATTACATGTGGCTAAAGCCCGATGAAAAAGAAAAGCAAGTCAAGTGACAGGGGAGACCAATGATGGATTGGATACACTTATTTTTTCAAGAAGAATCACATTCTTTTATTCGTTCCTTATTTCCAAGCTTTTCAATATTCTATGAATTATTTTTATATGAATTTTTTCGGGTCGATAATTGTGTATTCTTAGTTGACAACTTTTTTTATGTGTATGTTTGTGGTTGTTGAGCGTATGAAAGTGTTTATAGAAACAAAAAATATACACAAGTAAGTACACAACTACTATCTGTTTGAATTGTAATTATTGCACCAAAATTGAGGTGAATAACTTTGCTTAGATGAATTATCTAGTTACATGTTTTTTTTTTTTTTTTTTTTTTTTGATATCTAGTTACATGTATTTTAGTTTAGACGAATCATGAAACTCTCGATCTTAAAGTTTTTTATTTTAACGTTTTCGTCATTTGAACCTGCTTTTTAGATGTTTGGATCCGATCCTACATGAACTTGATCAAAATTAACTTATCGATTAGATGTTTTGAATCCGACCTTGTTCTTGACCTTTTTCACTACAACTTTTTAAGTACCATTATTTCATCAAAATAGCTTACAAATGATATACTACGTCGTAAATCTTTTGTTTTCCTTAATCTACCGTAACTCTAACATGTTTTTCTCTTCTGTTTTGAACAAATTTCATGATTTTTCAAATACTATTAGAAATTTTATAGCTATAAAAAAATGTTCATGTATTCTTTTTTGTATCTGAATTTGATGAAGTTAAAAAATGTCAAAATATATATAGCTTATATAGCTCGAAAAACTATTTGAAAATTAGAAGTAGGGAGCAGTAATAATAAATCTTGGCGGACAACATTTCACTTTTATGTTCGAAAATCTATCTATCTATCTTCAGGTTAATCAGTTGTCTTCACTGTAAGTACAAAATCTAGTGACTACCCAATATTACCTACCAACATGACCGTTATCTCCTCCATATATGAACTTTATCACGAAATTGCCCTTACTTCTTTCACTGACTGACTCGTCTCCTTCTCCACTTGGATCTCTCTATTCGATCCAAACAAATCCGCCATCGCTTCTTCTCCTTCTCTCTCTCTTGCACACACACATACACATAGATGCCAGCAATGCCAGGCCTAGTTTCAGTCAAAACGCCGGCCGATGCGCCGCCACTACGTGTGGCCGTGCCAGACACGCAACCTCTCCGATCCGAGCTCTCGAACCCTCCCCGAACCCCGTTGAAGAAGACCCCTTCCTCTACTCCTTCTCGATCCAAACCTTCCCCTGGCAGATCCGGCAAAAAAGATTCCCCCGGCGTTTCCTCCTCCGCCGCCGCAATCGACGTCGACGATCCGTCTCTCGACAATCCAGATCTCGGCCCTTTCCTCCTCAAACTCGCTCGCGACGCAATAGCTTCAGGCGAAGGCCCAAACAAGGCATTAGACTACGCGATCCGCGCCACTAAATCGTTCGAGCGATGCTGCGCCGCCGTTGCTCCTCCCATTCCCGGCGGCAGCGATGGCGGACCTGTTCTCGATCTCGCCATGAGTCTCCACGTGCTCGCCGCCATTTACTGCAGCCTCGGCCGATTCGACGAAGCTGTCCCGCCGCTAGAGCGAGCCATCCAGGTTCCCGATCCGACTCGTGGCCCTGACCACTCCCTCGCTGCGTTTTCCGGCCATATGCAGCTCGGCGACACGTTGTCGATGCTTGGCCAGATCGATCGATCCATCGCTTGTTATGAAGAAGGTCTTAAGATCCAGATCCAGACTCTCGGCGATACGGATCCACGAGTCGGAGAAACTTGCAGGTTCCTCATTTTTTCACATTCTACTCTCAATTAAGCATTGAAATTGGATAAATTAAAGCTCTCAAGATTAGTGTATGTTTATGGAAAGTTAATATCTTCATTAGATCTAACTTGATAGCAAGTGAGATTTGTGTATAAGCTTCCAGAATTGTACAAATTTGGAGATTGAGGGTTTTAGAGTTTGATGATCCAATTGATTTAGGCCCTGTGGCTAGTTTCTGAAGCTCCCTCTCAATAATGTTTCAGGTACTTAGCAGAAGCATATGTACAAGCAATGCAATTCAACAAAGCGGAAGAGTTATGCAAGAAGACTCTAGAAATCCACCGTGCGCATAGCGAGCCAGCTTCTCTGGAAGAAGCAGCTGATAGGAGACTAATGGCAATCATCTGCGAGGCTAAAGGAGACTACGAAAACGCGCTCGAGCATCTTGTTCTCGCGAGCATGGCCATGATTGCGAGCGGGCAAGAATCAGAGGTCGCGTCGATAGATGTCAGCATTGGGAACATTTACATGTCTCTCTGCCGGTTTGATGAGGCTGTGTTCTCGTACCAGAAGGCTCTCACTGTGTTCAAGGCTTCTAAAGGAGAGACTCATCCTACGGTTGCGTCGGTGTTTGTTAGATTGGCTGAGCTTTACCATAGGACGGGGAAACTCCGTGAGTCCAAGTCCTACTGTGAGAACGCGTTGAGGATATACAACAAACCGGTGCCTGGGACTACTGTGGAGGAGATTGCTGGTGGGTTAACCGAGATTTCCGCGATTTATGAGTCTGTTGATGAACCTGAGGAAGCATTGAAGTTACTTCAGAAGTCTATGAAGTTGCTTGATGATAAACCTGGTCAGCAGAGTGCCATTGCAGGTAAACAAAATCCATCACAGTGCCTTGAATCTTTTGGTCTCAAATGGACTGTAAAGTACTGATCTTTGTGTTGTTAATAGTTGAAGAATCTTAAAAATTAGGGACCTGAATTGTTTCTGAGGCTTTGTATAGTGAAGTAGATTGTGAGCAGACAAGAAAATGAGTATAAATCTTGAGTCTTTGCTATATGTTTGGCTTAGTTTGGCTCTGTATATGTGAATATTTGCAGGATTAGAGGCACGGATGGGAGTGATGTACTACACGTTGGGGAGGTACGAGGAGGCAAGAAACGCGTTTGAGAGCGCGGTGACGAAGCTGCGTGCAGCGGGCGAGAAATCTGCGTTCTTCGGAGTCGTATTGAACCAGATGGGATTGGCCTGCGTTCAGCTTTTCAAGATCGATGAGGCCGGTGAGCTGTTTGAAGAAGCGAGAGGGATTCTTGAGCTGGAACGTGGACCGTGCGATCAAGACACTCTCGGCGTTTACAGCAACCTCGCTGCTACCTATGACGCCATGGGAAGGTAAAGAAAACCGGTTTGGTTCAAATGTGTGAACTTGATCGGTAACTTTCTCTAAACCGGTTGATGGCTATGTGATTTTGCAGGATAGAGGATGCGATTGAGATATTAGAGCAGGTTTTGAAGCTGAGAGAGGAGAAGCTAGGGACTGCGAATCCGGATTTCGAAGACGAGAAGAAGCGTTTGGCCGAGCTGTTGAAGGAAGCGGGGAGGTCGAGGAACTACAAAGCCAAGTCGCTGCAGAATCTGATTGATCCAAATGCAAGACCTACCAAGAAAGAGTCTTCTGGTAAAAAATGGCCCAGCCTCGGTTTCAAGTTCTGAGAACGAAAAAAATTATATTCATCATATATAATAAATCCATTCCACATATATATTATTTTTTTATCTGATCTATTTTCTGTATCATAAAATCTGAGGCTGATGAATTAGTTTCCTGTATAGTGTTATTATTTGAGTTTGGTGAAATACTGCCAAGGTGGTGAGCTGTTTGTTTGAGTTTGAGATTTTTTTTTTTTTTAATTCAATCCTTTTTTTTCGATATTTGTATTTCTTTTCATGAAGTATGGGTCGTATTAGATGCGGCCCAATGTATGACCTCGTTCTATTTCTCCACAAATTAAAGTTTGAAGAGCCAATTGCCCACAGATGGAACTTTAAAGAGCCAAGTCAACACGAATTGAATTGCGAATAGCCAGGTCCACACAGAGTTGTGGTTTAATTGGTTTACTGTTTGGGAAGCATGGTTTACTGTTTCCGAATCTCGTTTAACCGATTTTAGACCCGATTTTAAAAACGAAACCATTTCTCGTCATTTAACCAACATTCACGAAAAACCCCAACTACAAAAATTCCCAAGAACCCTAGAATCGAAATCGAAAGAGAGAGAGAGAAATCTGTTTGAAAACTCGAGAGTGTGAGAGATAATTCGAGTTTGGCATGACTTTAGCTCCTCTCCTCTAAACGGTGGAGAGGGATTGGAATTTGACGATGAAGAAGTCGATTGATTCCACGATAATGTAGTTTGTGACTCTCCATGGTTTTTCTTCTCTCACTCGTGGAGCTCTGAGAGTTCATGTCTCTACTGTTTTATATCTTGTTAATTTCTGACTGGGAATGAGTCATAGATAACAAGAAGAATCATCAATTAGGGGAGAAGTTGCTTGGCGGGTACTGAAAAAGAGATTCAAGCACAAAGACGGACAAAGAGAGAGGGATTGTTGAGATTAAAGATGAGACAAATGAGGTCAAAGCTATGGCAGAAGCTGAAGGGAGAACCCGTGAGTGGAATCTCGCTCTAAAGATGTCAACAGGAGAATGATTGTTGATTATGCAATTACAGAAAGAGAAAATTGGGTTTTAGCCATAAATATACATTCGATCACATTAGAGGTGGAGATGTTGCTTTATGTGGATAATCAATAGAGCAACATCTATCTTGATAATAATTGGGTGTCCGTGTCACGATTCTGGGAAGAATAGATGGCGAAGGAGACGGGAGAAAGAAATTTGGGAAGAAGAAGAGTCGGGTCCGGTCATGTTTTCCTGGGTCTGGTCGGGTTTAGTTGTCATTAGGTTCAATTTTCGGTTTAATATTTGGTTAATGACTAATTGGTAAACAATAAACCGAACAAATTCGGGTTTGTGTGTTTCGAGAGTTTTAACTTTCAATTCGGCGAGATTTAGATTTAGAAGTTTGTTTTTAGGGAGATTAAGGTTTATAAATTTGTTTTTGTGGAGAAATAGAACGAGGTCATACATTGGGCCGCATCTAGTACGACCCATACTTTGTGGTGGGGAAATAGGTCGTCAACCTGTGTTTATGCAATAAGCAATTCGTGTTAGAAGTATGGATTTTGGCAATGGCAACTTGGCAAGTCAGAATTTTATATTTTCTTGTACAAATTTCATTTTCAGTTCAACTACGTAACTTGCATGACAAACGCAAATTGAAACATACGATGGTATAAGGATTACGACAGTTCCCACTAATTAAAACCCTCGTACATTTAAAAACAGACAAGCTTTAAGAAAAAGTTTTAGAACTTTTTCCACCTCGTAAGATGCCATGTAGGCATGTACTAAAGCTAGGACTACAAACAATTCATATTGATTCAGTGGTTAAATGGTTCATTCGACACTTAAAGTGAAGGATTATGATTCGAGTTTTCTTCAATGTGGTTTTAATTATAGTTAGGACTAGAAATGTTTTTCTTTTTCTTGAAACAACTAAATATGTTATCAGAGAAAAAATTATCAATCTTTTCGCAAACCCTCAGATTAGTTTTAGATTTAATCACTTCGAAGCCATTGAATATGTCACTGATGTCTTCCGTTTCTTTCTTTTGTTCTCCTGTTAATTTTAGTTTTAACCAAATATTATGGTCTAACATACAAATTTAAAAGTCGGAATGTCTTTGAAAAACACAATACCGATGTTTCCAAGCTTTTCACGGGTTTGATTCTTATTCGCATGAAACTTTATCTAGCAGTTGGACCACAAATAGATATTTCACCAAACAAATGCTGGTTTAAGTCTTGTGTTTTTGGTTGGTAATATATTTGTGATGTTGCTTTTCAAAATTTGTTTAGGTTCACAGAGTTCTAGCTTGTATTTGTTATCTATCTCGTAATATTATTGTTCATAATTAAATTTGCTTTTGACACAATTTATTTTACAAAATTTTCATAGTTATATATTTAACTTGTTTGCTTCAATTTTTAATTTTGCAAGGTTGTCTTTAGATAAGATTTCGAGCACAGTTTTTTTAAAAAGGGATACCAACCTACTCTAATTCTGACACTGAATAATATCAAAGGTTGAAAGGGAAAGCCTTGTAATTATTGTTTACTAAAACTAGAGTAAAAAACGAAATTCATTACTCTCCTTTAAATTTTTCTGTTTGTTTTTTATATGTTTGAGATGAATAGGTGCGCTGAACATTTAGATGTGTGTAGACATTTGTATATCATTCTAAGGGGTATATTCTAAAAAATCTTTATGTTTTGTGTTTTCTTGCAAGGAAATAAACACATTTACACATATTTTTTTTTTTATTAAATACAACTACAACACATATAGATGCCTTTTTGTTTTGTGGCATAGATATAGACATACGTCCATTTACATATATTAGTAGTATGCTTACACACTTATATATATATTGCTTTGGAGGACACTTGACCATCATGTGGTGTTAATTTTGTCCCCCTAATGACCGAAGGTTCCTGAGAATTGCCACCTACGTAGTATGTACTCTTCTTAAATTCGTTTTAGCATAATGTGTTATGGTTCACACTTCACACCAATTTGATGTCATACACTAGAACATCGTTCTAAAAACAGATAAATGGTCACTCAAACGCTGAAATAATAAACCCTTGTTACAAAAACAAAGAAGCTGAAACAATAATAAAATGCGTTGGCTTTTTAGAAAAGAGCAACGAATTATATGTTGCTTTGAAGTGTTGTGAATTGTGATAAATAACGCTGACGCAAATTCTATATTTATTCAAGGCATTAAGATTTTTTGTTTTGTTTTGAACAAGGCTTGGCATTAAGAAAATGGAAAAATAACCATTTCGTGTTTGAATATTGCTTATCGTGTACAATTGATATTTCGTTAAGACTTCTGTTCAGATTTTCAGTTTTCAAGTTTTTGATTTATGGAAACTACTGTTAATAGTAGAACTTAATATCAAATGAATAGTTTGGTATAACTTTCGATTCAAGTTTTAGTGAAATCAATAATTAACTTTTATATAATAAAAATATGTTTTAATTTATTTTATTACTTTTATTCGTTAATTGGGCATATATATATTTTTTAAATATATAGTATTAAATAATTTTCTTGTAAGTTTCTTCTTACAATAATCATTTTTTCTTTTCAAAATGAATAAGGCAGATTTGTTTGATAGCCAAATCTCACAAAACTAAAGGTTTTGACATTTTTGTTAACCAAAAATAAAGTTATGACATGTGCAAAATAAATGTAACATTATATGCTCATGAAAAATATGCACAATTAGATAAAACTAAATAAATGTTTATCATGATTTTTTATAATTCTTTAATATACATAAAATTCTATTTTTGTTATTTTGTATATTTTAGCTGTTCACAGCTGGAAATCTAGCTATGAGCATTAAAATTATTTGATAGTTAGTTTAAAATGTATTTACAGTACATAATTCAGAGGAAATTTTTTTATAATCTCTTAAAATTTACTTCTTTCTCTTATGATAATAGTTATTTCTTTTTTATGAAATGGATATTATGTATTCCATTACTTAGTATCACTGAATCTGTTATCTTTTTATTGAAATTTCTATTTGGAGAAAATATGAATTCAAAAAAAATTAATTATAAGATAAGACCACCTTTTTTTTTTCCTTTTGAACCACAAAAAATGTGTGTTAAATCAACTATTCACATTTTCATATACATGCATTTATTCACACATACATGGTGTAAGTACCTATGTACTCACATCATAGCCTTCTGCTCTTATATATAGACACCACCAATAGACCAGCTTCTTCATCCAATTGGTTTCTCAAATCACTTAATAAATTTCGTCTTCGGTTTCTTCTTTCTCTTCTTCATCACATTCGTCATCATCTTTAGTTACAATCAAAACTATGGATTCTGGACAACGTGATCTTGTTCGGCAGATTGTCGGAATAATAGGTAAACAATTATGATTTTTTTTTCGTCGACAACCTCTATTCATAAAACAGTTCACAATTCTAATTACTTTGCATCTATTTCTTGTTTGGAACAATTTTCAATAGACAATAATTTTATTTCAGATATTGAGTATTTTATTTTCATCTCCTTTGATCAAATTTGCAGGAAACTTCATCGCTCTATGCCTGTTTTTGTCACCGACGTAAGTTTTCGCTACATAATCTATATAGAATTCCGATAACAAGATACACGAAGGAAGAGATCCATAAAACATTGAATTTTCTTAAATAAAACCAAACTTGTTTCAGAAATTTAAGATATGGTTTCTCTTGGAAGCTCCGAAATTTTGTTTTTCTTTCGTCCCTTAAGTTTTAACTTTTTTTACTTATGTGTAATCACAATATTAAAATTGACCCTTTTCTCTCAAAACAATTAATGTTTTTAATATTATTATTTTAAAAAAAATATTTACTAGATTTCTTTCCAAAAACAGAAAGTATTTATTGACTAAATAAATAAATTATAGACAGTAAATAATTATTAGTTTGAACACTAACTAATGTTTCATTCCATTCAGGCCAACATTTGTACGCATAGTGAAGAAGAGGTCAGTGGAAGAGTACTCACCGATTCCGTACCTAGCGACTCTCATAAACTGTCTGGTTTGGGTTCTTTACGGGATCCCTCTTGTGCATCCTGATAGCTTGTTGGTCGTTACAATCAACGGCACAGGGATCGTGATCGAGATTGTGTTCCTCACCATCTTTTTCATTTTCTCTGGCCGTAAGAAACAGCGGTTGGTGATAGCCGCTGTTTTAGCGGTTGAACTCGTGTTTATCGCTGTACTCACAGTTTTGGTGCTTACTCTCCAACATACTACCAAGGAACGTTCCATGAGCGTTGGAATCACTTGCTGCCTTTTCAACGTGATGATGTATGCTGCTCCATTATCTGTCATGGTACGTAAATCTGTTCTTTTCTTTTTTGTCATTTTTGTGATTCAATTGTTTAATGGTGCATTTTTGCTAAAATAATTACATGGAAAATTATGTAGAAAATGGTGATAAAACCTAAAAGCGTGGAGTTCATGCCGTTCTTTCTATCGCTAGCTGGGTTCCTAAACGCTGGCGTTTGGACACTTTATGCATTGATGCCCCTTGATCCATACATTGTTGTAAGTTTTTTTTTATCTCCCTCTCTTTCATCAAACGTTCATGATTCACCTATAAAAAGTTAAAAACTAGTCACTAGATTTCATATTTATGTAAAAAAAATAAAATCATATGTCAATCCGAATATAATAAAACACATAGGGTTTTAAATTTTCAATTGTCTATGAATAAGTATTGTGTAGACACTTATACCATTGTTTTGGTTTTTCAGATACCAAATGGAACTGGATGTGCATTTGGGCTGGCCCAACTGATTCTGTACGCTACTTACTATAAGTCCACCAAAAAGATAATGGCTGAAAGACAACAACACCCCGTTCGTGAAGTGAGCTTATCCAGTGCGATCGTCCGCGTCGGAGCCCAGAATAACCAACGGCTTAGCAGCGTTTGACTTTGGTCTTCTCATGCTATCAACCGTCCGATTATCAGACCTCTTTTTTAATCATTAAGACTTTTGTTACTTCCAAATATTTTTGTTACTTTACTTTCAACCATCGTAAAGTAATTTTGTCCGTTATTTAGGGGTAGCAATAGACTCTTTTCAAAGTATTGAGTTGTAATGTTAAACATATAAGATTTAGCAGGCTCAAATTAAAATAATAAACTCGTCTTCATACATCATTTTTATCTTCTTTGAGGTTTAAATTCATCGATCATCTTCACTACGCAGTCAAACGCCATAGGCGCCAATCTAAACTGGAAGTAAGTGGCGATTCAAATTTCGAATTAGAATTATCAAACAGTCAAAAGCGAATCTCTTCTCGGAGGAAAAAATGGCGGAGAAGAAGAGATGGATTGCGATGTATACGAAGCACATCAAGCAGAAGAGAAAAGTCTATCACGATGGCTTCCTCGATTTGCAAATCACCAGAAGAAAGGTTTTCTTCGCTCTATGCTTCACATTCGCTTCCGATTAGTCAGCTAATTCCTCTAGATAATCTGGATTTGGTTGAAATTTCTACATAGTTTTACTCAGAATTCAATCTCGTTTCTCCGTGTTTTTCTTAGAATGTACGAACAGGATCTGGCAGTTTAATTGGAGTTCATGAGATTTTTCTTCTTTGAATTCGTGCAGAAATCTGCGAATTACTTGGTTGAGTCTTAACTTATTCTGAGTCTCTGACTAGTATTCGGTGATTATCTCGTTCCGAGATGGTTTTGAGGTCGCTATATGGATTCCTTGTTTGAAATTTCATTGTGAGTTAGCGTAGAAGTGAAATACAGCTCCATTCAACTGGAATTATGCTTTGATTTGGTTTCCAAATGTGATTGATTATGAAATATGAGCTTATGTGGAGTTTGCACATTTTAATGTTGGATTCTGGAAGGTTTTCAAGAAGAAATGAAAATGAGTTGAGTGATTTGTGCATAATCTAATTAGTTCTTGTGGAGTTATTTCAAGCATGAGCCGGTTTAGAGTAGCAACTACGATCATATATTGATATTTGGATTATACTTTATATCTTAAACGAAACCATGACGTTTTCTGCATAACATGTTGGATCGCTACCTCAAAATTTGATAGATTTGTTTTGCCAAATGTTGTGCTTTCAAGTTGCATCACAACCAGATTTGATACTCACTGAAGTATAAATATATCTCTGTTTTATCATCATCATCTATTTGAGTAGGTCTCGGAGCTAATGCAGTGTGAATTGAAAAGCAGGTGATGCTTTACGATGAGGCAGATAATCTACTGGAAAGCAGGATGCTCAAGGCAGATGAAGTTGTGAGCTCAGGTGAATCACTCACATTTCAAGCATACCTTGTGGATGTCGGCGATCCTAAGGACGGATGTGAGCCTCCATCTGAGCAAAAGGCTCATCCAAGTGATCAAGGGTGTGTGCGGAAACCTTTTGCAGCGCTCAGGCCAAACTTCAAGAAAAGTTCTCTTCATTGTGGTATGATATGTCCTCTTATCCAAATTCTCAGAAATTTCTCATCAAAGTGTTTCATATTGTCAAGACTAAAGACTACGCTACTCATTTTCTTTTTTTTTGTTTCTAGCAGAAGAGAAAGAGCACCTTATGAATAAATTTCCTTCACAAAGTCTCAGCCCATCTCACAAAATGATTAGAGGTGAGCTTAGTTGAGTTAGTACCTTGCATCCATGAACTGTGTAGCTCCCTCATCTACTCCTGGTATCAACTTTTGGCTAAATCCCGTGGAGAGTGAAAATTGAACGCTGCAAGCACATAATGTTTTCCTTCTAACAATTTCAGTATTCAAAAAGAGGGAACTGCACAAGTATGGAGCACTAAGTCCAGACAATGTAAAGGCAACAACAACAGGTTTGATGCTTTCTTTTCCCTTCTTAGAATCGTTTTTGCAGTTATCTATTGGAGAACAAAATGTCGAACCTTTTCATTGCTTAACTTTGGAATATAGCTAAACCCGAAATTGATGCTTTATTCTTCTAGAGTTGAGCTGTATCCATTTAATCTGGCATATTGTAAAGTGGTTAACATTTTCTACTGTTGGTAATATTAATATTCATCAGTCACACTGATTGGTGATACAATGAAAATCATGCTATGTATCAGTCCCGATCTCAGTATATTTCAATCGTTTTAGTTATGCATCTTCGTGTTAAATAAGATTGACGCTTTATTTTCAAGGATCTTCTGGATGGAGACTAAACATTTCTTCAAAACATCCGCATAACAAAGTTCATGATAGGGATAGAATACTCTTTTCATGTGTTTTAGGCTCTGTTTTAATAAGGGAAACCAAACAGTGAGATACAGACACAGAACGTAAATGCTAGGTGTTTGTTTTGCACACGCTGTGACTAACAACAAGTCTGCAGGCACTTTACCTCTTGGCTCAGCTACTAAAGGAAGCAACAATCACCCATTGTTTCACTCTCCTTGTGATGGTAAGATCTGCGAAATCTCCCCACTTCACTTCTTTTCCTTTCTACATAATTGTGGTAATTTGAAGCGTTTCCTCGGCTAAGTTGAAGTTATTTTGCACCAAGAAATTGTTCACCAGATTAGGTTGAAATCGTAGAACTCCAAACATAACAAATGTTGCAATGATTCTGGTGTTTGATCTGGCAGTAGGTTAAACTGACATATCGTGGTCCTAAAATGGTACTGTTTGAATGTGCAGATTTCAGGCGAGAGAATGATAAGTTAAGCAAGGACGTTCCTCCACATAAGCCTTTACGTGATGGTAGGTCAATGTTCATATAAATGTTCCAAGTGGTTTCTTCATAATACCAATGCATGAATCTTTATGAGAACAGACACAAACCAAGCTTCGTTTTTTTCTCTTTGCAGTAAACCAGATACTCTCCATTCTTCAGCGACCGACTGTTACAGAGACATGTTCTGAAAATATCTTAAAAACATCAATGTCGTCAACGAAAATACCTCCAGAATCTGATATCAGCAAAAACGACATATTGGAGCCTGTTTCATCGAAAGGTAATTCCGGAATTTCAAAAATTTGAAACTTGATAAAATCATAGTATAAACAGTCGGCCATTTAGGATGTAAAGTTTTATATAGTTATTCTTGCAATCTAAAAGAATTTCATATCACAAGCATTTCTTTGGCTTATTTGGGTTGCAGGAACATCTAAGAATTCACTTCCCCAACAGTTTATGGCTCGAGAAATTTCAACGGCGAGCACAAGTGTTTGTTCAACGACTCATCTAGACGACCCTCCGAGTTTTGACCTCGGAATTTAAAAGTTAAAACAACCAGCCAAGATCTCTTTTTACGTAAACAGGTAACTCTTTTTTTTCCATTTTACCTAAGTCCCTCCTTGAACTATAGCTTTTTTTCCCCGGAACTCTAGAAATGGTATACTATTTGTAAAGTCCAAAGTCCAATAACTCGCAAACAGAAACAATGTTTATATTATTAAGTTGGAACTCTCCATAGTACTCATTTGTACTATAGGTTTCTTATTAATCGATAGAGACATATATATCTTGATACAACTTAATCATAAATCTAGTGCAAAAAGGAAAAAAAACACTCGTAACACAGAAAGGAATGATATGAAAACAGCTATTTTACATTTTGTATTGACCAAACTATTTTCCTAGCTTGCACTCTCATTTATTTACAAAAAAGTTTATTTACAACACGAAGTCGTTTTAATGAGAATGCGCCACGTATAAACTTTTGCCGTAATACTAATAGCCAGCTGGGGTTATATCTGCTGTTTCAGTTTAAGTAGTTGGTTTCATACTCGTTGAAAGCTGATGTAGCGTCTCTTTTACTATTTCTTGCAAGGCTTTCTCGTTTATTCCTTATTCTTAGGGTTTTCATATTGGCATTGCTAGTTGTATAAGTACTTGGCTTCGTGCTTTCTTGTAGCCTCGGCTTTGATATTATTTTATAAGAGATTTACTTTCTCAAAACCCTAAGTATTGCATGTCTCGTTTCTCTCAAGAAGAAAGCTTGAGGTTTAAGCATCAAGAGTTTAACGAAATCCATTCATCTTCGATAACCTTTTGACTTCCCGCTGCACCCAAAAGCCTCTCCTTTTGTCTAAATGAGAAAGTCCACTTCCTAGTTCGGTAACGATTTCGTCTCTTTAGGTTTGATGGATTAATGAATCAGTCTTTTTGAATTTTATTTTAAAAACAAAAATTGATTGGAAAACTAGGGTTTCTTATGTCCCGCTTCACATAACCGACTCTCAAACGCAACGCAGGTGTAAATTCCAGAATTATAAATTACAATCGATCGTCGTCTCTCTCATCTCACCAGAAACTTGGAACCCTAATTTATTCTCACGAAACCATGTCTGAGTCTAAACGTTCGACGAGCGGTAAGATCAGTCTCCCTCTTGTCTCTTAATGACTAAAAAAACACATGATCCCTCTCTCTCGACTGTTAATTTTATGCGGTTTCTGTTTTGGTTTGCAGGGTGCATAGGTGTGTTTTGGGACGTGGAGGATTTCCCGTTTCCTAATGGTGTTAGTCCTCCTTTGATTTACCACAAGATGAAATTATTTGTGGAGTCCGTGCCTTGTCCTGCTGAGGTTACCACAATCGTGGCTTATGTCGATAAGGAAGAGTTGAGTGATGAATTGATCCGTGTCTATGATGATGCCGGAATCACCCTTTTCCCCCGACAAGGTGAATTCTCCCTGCTATATATCATGTGTTTATTTTTGTATCTGTCTCTAATATAAACAATAATCTTGGTCTGACTTTAATTTTATACTCTCTCAGGGGATGTGTATGAGAGGTATCAATCAATGGTACTGGACATATCATGGTGGGAAGTGGATATGCGTCCCCTCCGATTTGCTGGGTCGAGAGTGATGGTGATCTCAAAAGAGATAAACAAAGATTCTCCTTTCTTCACTTTTTTCAAGTCGATCGCCTCTCTATGTCATCCTATTTACTATACACCTGCTGATCATGATCTTGATCCACCAAGACGAAGTGGTTGGCTAGAGCCGATATGCTTCAATCTCCCATCAGATCCTATCGATCAGAATGTAACCTTACATCGCACCTTTCACCGTTTGCGGAGTAGCATAGAGGAGTCTTTAGATTACTCCCACGACCAAACCATGCCTGATGATGATCTCATGAATCTCGATTCTTCTCCATTCGACCAAACCATGTCTAGGTCCTCCTCGTCCTCGTCTCGCACATGTGTATTCTGGGACAGCGGGGATCACCCGCTCCATAATGATGATCCTTGGTCTACGTATGCGATGTTGCAAAAAACGATGTTGGAAAAGACTCTTGGGTCTTGTAGTGGTGATTTATCACTCATCATTTATGTTGATGAGGAATATATCAAGGATGATTTGGCTGGTTTTAATATGGATAAGGGAATCACCATCATTCGCCCACAAGGTGAGATCTCCTATTTTATGTCTTGATATTTGTTCTTACTTGTTTTTATGTGTCTCTAATAATATATGTTGATATATATATATACATATACTTTCAGGGGATAAACATGCGAGAGTTCATCACATGTTAGTGGACATTGTTTTGTGGTCACTGGATAATCCAGCGACCTATTTTGAACCAAGAACTCTTATGGTAGTCTCAGAAAACATGGAACCTGGAACGGATTTCCGCAATGCCCTCGAAGCTTTGGAGAAGAGATATTACAATGTTCTCTTCGGAGATCCAGAATCCCCTGATTTGATAGGAGGACGTTTTAAACCAATGGGACAGAAGGCAGCTGTTGGTTTTTCAAGTGGAATAGCTTCTTTGGATTTCCATGACTTTTCTAGTAAGATCTTTCTCTCCATCTCTTGCTCCGAAATTGATTGTCTGACTATATCTGAATTTGACTAAAATGCATTGTTTGGTTTGTAATCTCTCAGCGTCTGAAATCGTCACCTTCTGGGATGTCACAGGCTGCAAAACCACATTTGCGAGTATCAACCCAGTACTTGAGAAAAAGGGTTATCATGGCCCTCTCATAATTAAGCCATACGTTGAGATGGGATCCCCGGAGGATGTGGATGAGGATGATCTGGTGGGTATATTGCCCGTGGGTATGGAGTGTGAGTCTAGAATCAGAGTCAGATCCGAAGGTATGTCGTATTTTATCTTGTATATGTCTGTGTATATGTCTGTTTAGATCTGCGTTGATGTATATTTTTTATTTTCCAGGAGATAAATATGCCAAAGTTACTAGAATGTTATTGGACATTCTGTTTTGGGCCATGAACCATGATGATGTACCGCAAAATCTGATGCTCATCTCAGAACCATTTGAAGACATCACAAAGAAGTGCGACACTGTCCTTCAAGCTTTGGAACGAAGGGGTTTTAACATCATCTTTAAACCCTCTCATAAGGTTGCATGCATAGATGATTCTACAGTTGACAACTTTGAGGCACTTTGTGGAATGGTACCAAAACAATTGACCAACCAACGCCACGGAATGTATTCAAGTCGGATTCTCACAGACCAGAGCCGATACCTTGCATGTAAGATCTTCTCTCTCTCTCTTTCTCTTTCTCTCATGTGAAATTGCTTGATTTCATGTCTCGGCATCTAATCAACTAATTGTTTTGTGAAACGTTTCAGTGCGCCCGGTAATCCTCTTCTGGTTGGTCAAGGATTACCCGCCATCCAATCCTAAAAAGATTTGGAACATTTTCAAATCAGCTGTCTCTAAGAAAGGTTATCACTGGATAGACCCTCAATTGAGGGTCTATGTTGATAAGGAGAAGATCTCAGAAGAGATGATCATGGTTTACAAGAGTGCTGGTATTACTCTCAAAGTCATACCCGAAAATGAGGTACATGGAAAAATTACCAATATGCTATTGGATTTTATTCGAGGGACACGGAGGATTCTCACGCCAGCAAACTATATTGTAATGTCTGAACCTTTCATAGACCACATGTCTGACATTGTTGTAGAAGGCTTGAGACTCAGAGGTTCCAATGTACTCTATGATGTGCCTGGTTATGTGCTCACCTTTGGAACCTCACAGTGGTCTGCAGAAAGTCTATTAGATGGAAGTTGCACTGCGCCATCCGGGAGCAGCTTGTAGTTGGGACTTGACTTATTATCTAATTTGTTCTTACTGTTATCTGTTGTTCATTTGTGGGGGTGTTCCCAAACTGTTTTTGTAAGCTAAATTGTGGCTGGGACTTGATTTATCTAAAGTGTTCCTGGTTCTGAACCTGTTAATCTTTCTCAGTATTTTGTGAATAGAAAAAGCCTAACCTTATGAATAAATTTCCTTCACAAAGTCTCAGCCCATCTCACCAAATGATCAGAGGTGAGCTTAGTTGAGTTAGCCCTAGCATGAATGTTTTGTTGACCTTTTTGCTAAATCTAGTGGAGAGTGAAATCGAGCGCTGCAGGCTATTAATGTTTTCCTCCTGACATTTTCAGTATTCAAAAAGAGAGAATTGCACAAGTATGGGGCACTAAGTCCAGACAGTGTAAAGCCAACAACAACAACAGGTTTGATGCTTTCTTTTCCTTTCCTTAAATTGTTTCTGCAGTTATCTATTGGAGAACAGAATGCTGAACCTTTTCATAGCTTAACTTTGGCATTTAGCTAAATCCTAAATTGATGCTTCATCCTTCTATAGCTGAGCTGTATCCATTTAATCTGGCATATGGTATAGTGGCTAACATTTTCAACTCTTGGTAATATTAATATTTATCAGTCACACTGATTGATGATACAGTGAAAGTCATGCTATGTACCAGTCCTGAACTCAGTATATTTAAATCTTTTTAATTATGCAGCTTCTTGTTTAGTAAGATTGACGCTTTGATCAAGGATCTTCTGGAGTTTGTAGACACCTTGTATCTAATAACCTCTACAATAGGATGGAGATGAAACATTGCTTCAAAATATGTGCTTAACAAAGTTCATGATAGAATACTCTTTTCATGTGTTTTTGGCTTTGTTTTAGTAAGGGAAATCAAACAGTGAGATACAACACACAGAACGTAATTGTCTACCTTTTGGTTTTGCACACGCTATGTCTGCAGGCACTTTACCTCTTGGCTCAGCTACTAAAGGAAGCAATAATCACCCATTGATTAACTCTCCTTGTGATGGTAAGATCTGCGGAATCTACCCACTTCACTTCTTTTCTTCATAATTGTGGTAATTTGAAGCGTTTCCTCAGCTATGTTACAGTTATTGCACACTATCTTTTTCTCAATACAGATCCCTAAGTCTAAGATGTTGAAGTTGTTTTGCACCAAGAAATTTCTCACTAGATTAAGTTTAAATCGTAGAACTCATGCTTTTCAAGCCACAGTCAACACCAAACATAAGAAATGTTGCAATGATTCTGGTGTATGTTACTGTTTGAATGTGCAGACTTCAGGCGAGAGAATGATAAGTTAAGCAAGGACATTCCTCCTCATAAGCCTTTACGTGATGGTAGGTCAATGTTCATTTATATGTTTGTGTTTTTTCTCCAAGTGATTCTTCGAAATACCAATGCTTATATCTTCATGAGCACAGAACCAAGCTTTGTTTTTTGTTTTCCTCTCTTCTTGCAGTAAACCAGATACTCTCCATTCTTCAGAGACCGACTGTTACAGAGACATGTTTTGATAATAACCTGAAAACGTCAATGCCATCAACGGAAGTACCTCCAGAATCTGATATGAGCAAAAACGACATAATGGAGTCTGTTTCATCGAGAGGTAATTTCGGAATTTTAATATTTTGTACTAGAAAAACTTAATCACATCAAAGTATAAACAGCCATTTAGGATACAAAACTGAAATTTACGGCAACAGATCTAAAGTTGTGTATTGATATCTGAAAGAATCTCATCACAAACATTTCTTTGGCTTTATCTGAGTTACAGGAACATCTAAGAATTCACTTCCCCAACAGTTTATGGTTCGAGAATCGTCGACAACGACTCATCTAAGCGACCCTCCGAGTTTTGACCTCGGAATTTGAAACAAACAGCCAAAAGATTTATGTTACATAAACAGGTAACTCTTGTTTTTCATTTTAAGTCCCCTCCTTGAACTATTGCTTTTTCCTAAACTCTAGAAACACTATGCTACTTGTAAAGTTCAAAGTCGAACATTGCAAACAAAAACAATGTTTATATTACTTGGAGCTCAACGAAGTACTAGTGAGGTATCAAAGTTAGTCGAGGGAAGAATACAGAACAAATAAAACATTTAAATTAAAACATAACCCACAAATTATCTTTGGTGACCATAATTTTAGTTATCCGCATGATCCAAATTTCATATACATCGTAATATTATTAGGAAAATGTAAATCTAAGACATTCAAACATTTTGATACTTAAGCATATGACCATTGCCAAGAAACAACTGTTTGATGATGGTCTTCTACATTCTAAAGAAGATGTTCCATCTTTTCTTCATATTCCACCTTAAGATCCTCTAGGTCCTTTAAGCTCTCAGGTAGCTTAAGGGTTCTGCTCACTCTCAGCACTTTTAGACCACTCATATTAGAGAATGAACTGTGTAGTTCCTGGATAGCTGTACAGCTCAGATAGAGATATTTGAGACTCCCCACTTCGTTCGCAGTCTCAGGGAAGCTCTTGAGCTTAATGCATCCTGAAAGATTGAGCATTTCAAGAGACTCCATGTTGTAGATCTTTATCAGAAATTTCAGCAGCTCTCTGCAGTTCCCAAGGTCTAGCTTGACTAGCTTTGAGAGGGACTCAATGGATGTGGGTACTACTACTATTCCAGTCCCATTGAGATTAAGTTCTCTAATGTTAGGTGGAGAAGGCGTAGATTAGGAGGGAGATAGAAGAGACCCTTTTGAAGACGGAGCTTCAAATGCTCTTTTGGATCGGAGCTGTAGATCTTCAGCAGTCGGAGATTGCGCAGAGGATTAACAACAAAGCTCAAGCCAGAAGCATCCAGTAATATGCTTTCTATATTTTTGCGATTCGATTTGCTCTCTTCATCTTCAAGCAAAGGTTGAATGTTTTGCGCGCCGCACAATCTACGACCTTTCCAAATTTTTATTACTTCGCAGGCCACGTCTTGGACCAGCTCGTGCATTTCTACACCGTGTGTGGATATTGTCGACACAAGAGACTTGTCAAAAAGATTGTGGATCTCAATAGGTATGAATGAAACACGCCATTTGAGAGCTTGAATCACGTGTTCCACGGATTGTCCACTGAGAAAACAAGCAATGTCCAGAAACAGGCTCTTCTCGTTGTCACTAAGTTGATAGTAACTGCTCTTTCCCTTCAGCTGTGAGCCGTAGCAGCCGAGAACTTTAGCGTTTCCACTAGCATACTTAACAACCATCTCCGACATTTTCAGGTGAGCCTTTTCCGGCAAGACCTCTCCAAATGCGCACTTCAGCGCCTCCTTAATTTTCATCTAAACCCTTGACCTCATTAAATCTCATCCACCCCACACCGGAGAAGCATATTTTTATCTCTCGAGGTTATGATTATCACGCTCCCTTGATCAAACCATGCAAACCTTCCAAGAAAAAGGTCTGCATTTCTATAACTCCACACATCATCAAGAACCAAGAAAACTATCGTCTTCGTCTCCCCTTGGCTTTCTGTACCAAAGGTTCTGTTTATGCCAAGTTTATCATTCACGTTCCGTGGTAACCATTGAACCATTAGGTCGAACCATGATGTTTCGTGCGTTTCTCCATTTATGTTCGTAAGTGTGATGACTTATCACATTACTAAGTCTCTTCACCACCGCACGGTTAATTCCGTAAAACACCGGAACCACGGGGAGGCAATTTTCGCCATGCTGGCCATCTATAACCTCACTGAGCGTACTCATGCCGAGGTTGGAGTAGACAAGTTCCTCTGTGACAACCACCACACAGATCTTGGATCTCTTTATCTTCAACTTAGTACTTTGCGATACGTAGTCACTGCTTTCCGATGGTGGATCGTCGTCTTCCTCTACGACGGAAATGTTTTTGCGGCGAAAAGCGGCTGAGAGGTGGCTGACGATGGAGCTGCACGTGCTGTCCCGGACATAGCCAATGAAGACGTCGTTGATAGCCGCCTTGGACGAAGAAGAGGCCATTGCGATTGCTCCGGAGGATTTGTGCTCTCTAGTTTCTGCTTTGATCTATGATTATTTTTAAATATATACATATGATTACTAAGAGAGACATGGTCATTTGATCAAAACTAATTATTTTTCTTTCCATAATTTAATCGATGGTTGTCAATTTCGTTGAATTGTTCATTTCATTGAAATAAGTCACTTATGACTTATCTCATCCGCAACGATATATCCGCTGATGATGATGACAACAAGAAGTAAGAACAAGAATCTTGCACATCTTTAGAAGTAGACAATGGTAATGGCAGCCTTGAAACAAAGGATGATTTAGATCAAAATATGGATGACCAAGTAATGTCACCCGAAGAAGCTTCGACAAAGGTCCAAATGAAAACCTTAAAGCAGCTCCGAGTATGCAAAAATCTCATTCGACTCGGATGAGAACAAAATAGTTAGTAAACAAGCGTCAATTAGTACAAAGATGGAGAGGAAATGTGGGCTTATTGTGTCTCTTGAATTAGTGGAATTGTATTTTCACTCTTCACGTTCCTTTATTATTTAACAAGGGACAAAATGCATATAAATCTCCCAACTATAACTATTAAATTTTAGTGAGGTTATAATATAGGTGTTTGTTGTGGTGATGATCTGGATTAACAGCTCCAATTATTATTACTTTACCACCAAAAATCCACTCCTTCTGTTCTTACACACTCGAGTCTTAAAGCCCATTAAGGACCCACACTCGAATCGATTCTGCTGTTATAAGCCCATTAAGGACCCAATTATACGATAATCTGCGCACGCAACCGAAAAACTCATCGAATTTTGAACCTTTTTAATACAACGGTGTGATTTATCACAAATCAAGCCGTTAAGATTAAGAGCCCCTTTAAATACTCTCTAAACCCTAACGATCCTCACAGATATTTGAAATTTTTTCACCATATTTCAGATCTCTTCTTCTTTCCATCATGATCGATCGTCGTGATCCTCCGTTTTCACGAATTATAAGGAAATAAGCAATTTCACAAATCACAGCGGTTACCATCGCCGGCGGCGGCATCAATCTTCCGTTATCGGACCCGGTTGGTGATAAGGCTTCGCCGGAAAGCTACAGATTGAGATCGCTGTGTGTTTTCTGATTGATCGGAAACCAGTCACACCACGAGAGAAGCATATCGGAAAGTCAACGGAGTCTAATTAGTCATGAACGAGTCGGAATCTTCGGGTACCTAATTCTCCTTTCATTGAAAACCCTAGAACGATTATTGATTCTGAAATTCGATTTCAATTGGATTTAATTACTCTCTTCCTGTTTGAATGGGAATGATTTTGGATTGGAACCGCGATTTGAATTGTGAGATTGGATTGTGTTCTATTGCGGAAATCGAGACTGAGATTTATGCGCTTTCATCGTTAACTTTAATGGTGAATTTTTGTTTGAGATTTGCTTTTACATGATGTGCATCTTTCATGATACTATGCTCTGGTTCTGGTCTTGATTTGCATTTTCTTTTTAAATATTTTAACGCTACAACTTAGAGATCCTCGTGAAAATCACATTTGATTATTAGTGAAATTAAAGTGTCACTCTGTTTCCTCCGTGGCTAGTGTTTTGTGTTTGATGTGAATCATAATTTCTGTTTCTTCTCCTTGTTAACTTCTTCTGATCTGAACGTTGATTTGCAGTGTTTTATAATTTCAGGATACAATGCGTATCCACACTTGGAAATCTTGAGCATAAAACTGAATAATGTGAAAACAAAATTTAGCTCTATTAAGTTTAGATTTATCTGACAATAAAGTTTTTCTCTTTCTTTTAATTAAGTTTGAAATAAAAGTTGTTGATTGTTGAATCAATTAAAAAACTTGAGTGCTAAATTACTAAATTGTGAAAACCAACATAACATGACATCTTGTCTTTTGATTGTTATTGGTGTCATGTTAAACTTGTTTTCACATTTTAATGAACAATTTTGCTCTTAAGTTTTTGATTAATTTGACAATGATTGTTTTTCTCTTTCTTTTAATTAGGTTTGAAATAAAAGTTTTTGATTGTTGAATTAATTAAAAAACCTGAGTGCTAAATTATTAATTTGTGAAAACCAACACAACATGACATCTTGTCTTTTGATTGTTATTTGTGTCATGTTAAACTTGTTTTCACATTTTAAAAACAATTTAGCTCTTAAGTTTTTGATTAATTTGACAGTAATTTTTTCTTCTCTTTTTTTTAATTAGGTTTGAAATAAAAGTTTTTGAGTGTTGAATTAATTAAAAATCTTGAGTGGTAAATTAATAATTTGTGAAAACCAACACAACATGACATCTTGTCTTTTGATTGTTATTGGTGTTATGTTAAACTTGTTTTCACATTTTAAATACAATTTAGCTCTTAAGTTTTTGATTAATTTGACAGTAATTTTTTTTCTTCTTTCATTGATATCTCCACTTAGAAAACTTGAATACAAGACTAAACTAAATTTAGCTCTATAAAGTCTAGATTAATCTAATAATAAATTTTTTCTCTTTCTTTTAATTAGCTTTGAAATAAAAAGTTTGATTGTCGAGTTATAAAAAACTTAAGTGTTAAATTACTAAATTGTGAAAATCGACATAATATAAATTTAGCTGCATCTTTTTTTTTTTTATTGTTATTGACGTTATGTTAAACTTGTTTTCACATTTTACAAAATAATTTAGCTCTTAAGTTTTTGATTGATTTGACTGTAATATTTTTTTCTTTCATTGATATCCGCAAAATTGAATTCAAAACTAAGATAAATTTAGCTTTATTAAGTTTAGATTAATTTAGCAATAAATTTTTTCTCTTTCTTTTAGTTAGGTTTGAAAAAAAAAAGATAAATTAATTAAAAAATTTGAAGACACAATCAGTGTAGAGAAAATTATGAAGAGATTGTTACGTTGCGTAGTAAAAATACTAAAGTACTCAGGGCATCTCCATCGGGGGATTTAAAGGTGGTTTTAAAGAAGGTTTTAATCAAACATTTTGTTAGACTCGAGTTTTAGGGCCTGACTGGTTTAACGCTGCGGTTGCGGTTGCGGGAGTTTGCGGTTGCGGGAGTTTGCGGAAGCGGGAGTTTGCGATTAAAAGCTGTTTGTACGACTGGTATAGCAATTCATAGCGGTTGCGTTTGCGGGATATTTTTGACTGGTTAGCCAGCGGGTGCAAGAGCGGTTTAACCAAAAGTTACTAAAATAAAAATAATATATAATTATTCAAAACATTTATAACCATATTATTAATAATTTTTTTTAAATATATTTTTTGATGAATTTTTAATTTGAAAACTACCCTTATTTTTTTTGGTTTTGAAAAATACACTTTTTATATGTAAAATGATTATTCCTAATTTGAAATTCAAATAAGAAATATAAAATATTAATATTTGATAATAATTTTGTATCATTTACTAAACATCCTAATTACCTGTTTAGTTTTTTTTTAAACAATAATAAAAATATAAGATTGTTTATATAAAGTTTAAATGGGGTGAGATTAAAGTTGTTTATAAAGTTTCAAAAATATTTAAATTTTTCAAAAGATAAACATTAAAAATGAAAGATATATTTCTCCACTTTTAAATTTTTAATAATTTATAAACTTTAAATATATGTAAAGTTTTAATTTATTTAAAGTTTCATTTGGTTTGAATGTGTATGAGGTTAAGTTGTTTATATAAAGATCCAAAATATTAAAATTTGTTTCAGTTTAACATATACTATATTTATTTGAAAAAAAACTTATTAATTTATTATTTTTTAATTTTCGTTTTAATTTGTAATTATTTATTATTTTTTGTTTAAATCACGTCAAAACATACTTTTTACATTTTAAAAGTGTATTTTTCAAAACAGAAAAAATTAGGGTATTTTCGAAATTTTTAAACATAATTATGGTATTTTTCAAAAAAATATACCCTTATTCCAAATTTGGAGATATTATGTTTTTTTTTTTTTTTTTAAACCGCAACCGCCCGCAACCGCAAACGCTTGCGGAAAGGAGCTTTTGATTTCCAGCGATATAGAGCGGTACAGAGTGGTATAGAGCGGTTGAAAGCGGTTGTCGTGATTGTTATAAAACGCTAAGAACCGCTACGAACCGCAAACGCTGCGTTTGCGGGTGGTAGCGGGAGAACCAATCATCACCTTAGTTAAGCACCATGTCTGAAATTAAAAACCCGACAGGTGTCGCATTCTGGTTAATTCAGGGTTTGACACACACACACACACACACACAAATTCACTCATTTTTTAACTCTCTCTCTCGTCTCTCGTCTCTCGTCTCTGGGAAAAATCTCCCTCCGATTATCTCTTCCTTGCTTCTTTCAGAGGATAATCATAGACGCCGTGACGGCGAATTTGGTCCAAACTCCGGCCTTACTGCGTCAAACTTCCGAAAACGTCTCCCGGTCGAGTTTTAACGGCAAGCTGTCCGGAGTTCATGCGATTCGGCTCCGGAGTTATGAATAAATTTCGTCTCAGAGTATGTCTTCTAACCAGTGCGTCTGAATCAGTTAACTAATATTCGTAAACGAAATTGAATTTCGTCGATTTCCAGAATTCTAGTGTGTTTGTGCTTTAATCGATCGGGAAACGTCTCATAATAGAATTCTGAGACGATATCTCATATCGGGAAATCATAGTTCCGCTATGAACTTTATTAGCAGTTTGTCAATAAGCGGAACTATGATTTATTCATAAAGTTCTAACTGCTAATAAAGTTCAGATGCTTCGTTTACTGAGTCATTGTATGATTTGAGGAGGAAATCAGTGAGATGAGGTTGAGGAGAGACGGTGGTTCTAGGAAGGATTTAAGCGAAGAAGCACAACATTCCGGTTAAGAGAAGCGCCAGAAAGTCTTTTCTGTTGTGTTTCTGGTACGCTTTCTATCCTAAATCTGTTGAAAAGCATAAAGCTTATGCCTTTAAGCTTGGTGCGACCTTCTTATAAGTGATAGTTCAAGTCAGAGTCGTATGCAATTTATAGCCGTCTAGTAGCTGATGATTCCTAACACTAATTAGGATCACTTCTTAGTTTACCAACTTCATTCCTAGTAATATGCATTATCATTGCTTTTGATATGAGGATTCTTATTTGATCTCTAGCATCGTTCTTAGTTAATATGGGCTGATCTCGATCATTGCTTTAGTCAATTACTAAACTAAATCATTGCATATCTCTCTCTTTCTCTCTCAAATCAAAATCTGCGCAGCTTAAGGCTTCTTCCAATTCCAATCTGGGTATAAATGATTCTCTATGTCGCTGAAAACTGATGTTTAGTGATTTGATGCATATGTGGGGATTCTGATATCTCTGTACTGTGCTGATCTCTCTGTTTTCATACTCTGCAGATGAGACTCCACCAAAGCTCCAAAGAGTCTAAAAATCTGAGAAAAGAACAGAGATTCCTTCGTCGTCTTCCGTCGAAGTGTTGTTGCTGTTCGTAGTCGCTAATAACAAACAATCTAGCGATGATGGATCTATGGAATCTCACCTATGACTCCAAGATCAGATATGAAACAGCTCAGATGATTAATGAGTTGGTGAGAAGAAGAAGAACAACAGAGTTCTCGAGACATTAACTCATTTCCTCCGAAACACATTGACCAAATCACATTGTAATTTTTGTATGTCTTTGTCTCTCAATGTTTCAAATTTAGGAAGACAGTATAATTTTTTCTTTAAAACCATAGAAAAGGTTTTAGCAATGGAGGAAGAAAATATTAACAACCCACACAAAAAGTTGTTAACATTGGTTTGTGTGAAAATTATTAATAAAAAATGTTTTGGAACCAAAATTTTGGTTCTAGGGATGGAGATGGTCATAACAGAATTCGACGTCAAAAAAAAAAAAAAAAAAAAAAGTACTCATGACAAAAAACAAATTAATTCCACGAAATTCTCTTAGTGTATGAAAGTTGTCTTGAAATAAATTTGAAAGTTTCCTCCTCTTTTTGTCAAAATTTCTCAAGACAACTATGAAGCTAAATATAGATAAAGCATGAACAAAGATGTAGCAAAAGGAGCGAGTCTTTAGCATATCCTACGAGTGCGGTTGGCCATAATAACCAGAAATCTCTTCTACAAATTCCAAATTTTCAATAACACAAAAGTAGTTAACAGAAGACATTTCTTGAGAGGTATAAGCTAGTTATATAGAAAGGCACATTACATATATATAAGGATAGGAAAAGAAGGGAAATGGCCGGACCGGAACAAGCGGCAAGACAGTCGAGTGAAGTGTTGGGTCAGCGGAAATCATTAGGAATATGTCCGGTGAGAGCGGCAGCGGTTGGAGCGGTGGTAATCGGTGGACTTGGCTACATGGTTTTGTATAGCAAGAAGAAACCTGAAGCTTCTGCTGGTGATGTCGCTAAAGTTATGTCAGGCGTCTCTGCTACTCCCGAGAACACTCGTCCTCGTGACTAAACACTCGCTCTCGTAACTTATATACTACTTTTGAATCATATATAAATGTTATGTTTTTTAATGAAATATTTAATGAGTCTTTTACACATTATTATATATTTGAATTTCTTGTTCAATTAGTTTTGAAGTCAAACCTTTCAAGTTAGATTATTTTCTCTTATAAATCATTAGATCGTGCAAAATCATAGGTATACAGTATACTTGCATGGTACTTTAAAAAACCCCTTAAAAATTGTGTAATACGTATTACACAATACAAGTTTTGTTATCTTTATCAAAAGCAAATACAAGTTTTGGTATTGTAAACAGAACGGTTAATTTGTGCAGTCTAAAATCTACATCGGTTATTGCGGACTTGCGGTACGTTGCCATTTACATATATGCACATTGGAACAATATATAGTCTAATGTTTTTGAAATTACATTTTTTCAACTTAACCATTTATATTCAAGGACTGAATATTCTTTTATATAAAAAGATAATTGAATAGTATAGAGTCTATGTAGCGTTTTACTTTTAAACATATTCACGCCATTGAATCCTAAAAACTCAAGTTCGCATGTATTAGAGAGTGTGGAGTATTGTATATATATATTTGTATTCAAGTTATTGAATGAATATATATTGTAACACCATCAGACAAATATTAAGCTCAAATGTTAAACTATAACATGATCAAGCATATACTTTTGATTTATTATCAAAGAAAAAATAGTATAACACAACAAGTCAACAACAAAGGGTTTCTTTTATTTATGAACGATAAAACATACATATTACAGACACAGACAAAGATAACATTTGACAAAGTCAAAAACAACTCGACATGACTTTCCCCACAAACAAACACCAAAACATAAGGAAAATCCAAAAAAACAAAAACAAAAACCTTCCAACAAACAGAACACCAAAAGCATGACAAATGAAACCCCCACACCCACAAAATATCACTTTGTTGTTAAACCTCAGCCACTTTCAGGGGACTTGTTCTCTGGCTTCAGTATCTTGACTTTCTCTTTTGAGCATATGAATATTTTCTTTACCATCTTGCAAAACTCGCTGCACACAAAATCAATCATTTTTATTAGTTTTCCTAATATTAAGAAAGAAAGAGGGAGAGAGAACTATATCTATAGAGAAAGTGTAGAAATGTACGGCCATGGATCATCTCCAACAAGTATCATATCTCCCTCATTATCCTCGAAAACAATTTCCCATTGATTGTTCGTATGTAGCTCGTCTTTGAGATCAAAGAGTTTCTCCAGTTCATTGACCAAGTGATTGTATCCATCAAGATTAGTTAAGTCCACAACTCTTCCTATGCCTCTATCTTGCATGAAAACCTGTTCAATAACCATATTAATTACGTTAAGCAGAATCGTCTTAATCTATTTAAGAAAATTATAAATAATTCTTATTTAAAAGTATATCTTAGGATGAAATTAAGGATGCTAGTATATATAAAATTCAATTTCATCTTCTAATAAAGATCATTTTTAATCATACATGCGTTCTCTAAGAAGATGAAGATTTTTTTTTTCATACCTTGGTACGACTTATGGTAGATATGATTTGCTTGCCTTTAATTTCTTTTGCTGATGTCAAAGTTTGGATTTGGTCAAGCTTTTTTTCTTCCGAGATTCTGCTAATTTTAGCTTTCTGGTATGAGCCAGTTGGTTCCATGGGATCTTTTGTTTCTAATGGAGTCATCAGATTAACTCCAAACAATCTGTAACTAGCAGAGCCGTCCCTGACATGAGAGTGGCCGCAAGCTAGGAGAAAAAAGGGCCGTTTAGTTTATCAAAAAAAAAAAAGTTAAATAATAAAAAAATTGAAGAAAAATAAAGTTGGAAGTCAAAGAGATTCGAAGCCAAGACATTAAACCTAAGTAGACTACTATGTAACCACTAGACTACGAGACACTTTTAGGAAAAATGGGCCGAATAATTGTATATAAAAAGAAGGGCCGCACACACCAGGGACGGCTCTGGTAACTAGCAGTAGTATTGGTGGCCATCTTTTCATTCATTGGCAGAACCATTTGATCGTTAAAGTTCACTTTGGACATGGTAGGGACTGAGTATTTCATCATCGAACTAGATGGATCAGTTGCATCACGATAACAACGCTGAGATATCGAAGAGCTCATGCTTGATTGTCCAATTTCCTGACCTTTAGTCAATGTATGAGTCCACAGTTTTGAACCTACGTACAAAGAAAAATAGAATGAGAAATGTTCACAAGGAAAAATTGAACTTATTAAACAATATAAGCCTTACCAGTTTCATTAGTATCACGTGAACGTTTATTATTGAGCAAAGCTGACTGGAGAATGTTTGATGGATGTGCTAAAAGCTCAATATCCCAGGGTGAAACCTTATCAGGTCTTGGAATTGATGCAGCCTCATCCCATTTCACCTAGAAAAATAATGTTATTAGTTATTACTCTTTTGGAATAGTTTTCTATAAGAATGTAACAAAAAGTGGAGTTAGAAGACTCTCACTTCTAAGCTTCGCCATTCTGAATCTTTCCAATGCGAGGAAAAATCTTTTTTTCCTACAATTTTCCCGGAATATCTTTTGCCATGGAAACAAAAAATATATATTAGTAACACATTTTGAAGAAAATAAAAAAGAGTAGATGTTCAAGTTTTACCTTAGTTCAGTAAAATCATCACCCTCAAACCGCATGATAAATCTCGAGTGTACATCGAACTTATTATTCATTGCATGTACAAATTTTCCGGAGCTGATGACGAATTGGCTTGACCTATATTTTCATACCAGTAACAAAAATATAAACATACTTGATTAAACAATAATCTTACAATGTTTTAAGTAGAGAGTAACAAATTGTTTTTCATTACCTTGGCTTATAAAACACGATGATCACACCTTCGCTATTAATAGCATTCCATGCAGAAGCAGTTACTCCATTGAATATATTCTCTTTTGTAATTATTGATAAAGGTATGTTGCCTTTATGAGCTGCTCTTCTGATTTCAACTCGTGATTCCCCATTCTCTCCTCTAGAAAAAGAACATAGTTAAAATCCAAAATCCAAGAAACAAAAGGGATCCAACAAAGAAAATTTTATACCTAAGAAATATAAAACTGTCCCCGGTGACTAATTTTTTAGCAGTCGCAAAGGCATTCCATCCCGTGGTGAATAGATGTCTCTTTGGTGTACCTACATGATTGTTTGCCGATAAACAAAGATCAATAATCACTAACTACATAACTTGATAAAAAAAAAACCATTACCTCTATAAATATGTTTAAATTTCCATTCATAGCCAGTGAGATCTTTAGCAACTATTTCCTGAGATGGTGTAGGCTGAGACATATCCTAAAAAAAAAAAATCAATACAAATAGTTACATGTACAGTTTGACTGAGATGTGAGTTTATTAGATTAAGAAACTTAGTGTAAATACCAGTGGAGGAAGACAGTCAATGGCATGTCTTTTTAGTATGGAAAGTCCACCATGTGTACTGGTATCTGAAGCAGTTAAAACTTTTTTGAAATAATTAATTTTTGTCCTCTCGTCCTTGCCATTAGGGATATGGGTTCCGATTTCCTGGAGAATCACAATATCAGAAAACTTTTATAGAAATACTGCTATCTGCTACGAAGTTATAAATAATTTTTTTTTTCAGTTTTGCTTGCAACTCACAGTTTTATTTGGAAGCAAAGAGATCTTCGCATATACTTCATGTGTATCATTATCTACCTAATTTAAACATAAAACAAGTAATAAGTAAGTTATTTATTACATAAGAAAGTCCATGTCTGATTATCTCTTAAAAAATCTTATATATAAGAGAATTTTCTCTATTCTAAAGCTATCCACATCAGCCTAATTTTATGAAAATTAGGGATCCCACATTTAATTACAAATTATAAAACAAAACAAAAGAAAATGATAAATGCTAAACATTAAAACTAAGACTAATGAATCAATTAATTCACACACTTTAGTATTTTCCTAAGAGAAATATATTATTTACCAAAAAACCTAGTATATATTTCACATATAATAATGAAAATGCCAACTAAGAAAATTAATAGATATATTAAATGATTTATAAAATTTAAGAAACAATTGTCTACATAACTTGAAAATTCAAAATATATAAAGATAACTATAAATAAGAAAAATTAACATATTTAAAATAATATATGAGACAACATAAATTTTCAAAGAGTTACAATTTAATAAAGATATTAAAAATTATAGTTTATATAAAAAAAATTGAAAAGGTTTGTAATAGAAATAAAAAATATTCATTTCTCAATGTCTTGTAATATGACATATTTCACACAAATTTCTAATTTTGGTGTTCTGTGAACAGTATCACACCAAATAATAATATGATTCAACACTATTAATAAAACACCAAATATAAAAATAGATTTTTATTGTTTTTCATTTATATTTTTGATTAAAATAAGTGTTTGTCAATTGATTTATTAATTTTTACTAGTTGACTAAAAACAAAAATTCAAAATTAACAAACATTTTTGTATTTTAAATTTAAATAAGAGAAAATAATAATTACAACTAATATTTCACAAAAATGTCTAATTAAAAAATAAATTATATAATTAATCTCTTAGAAATACTTGTTCAAATTCAACTAAAACATTAAAAACATATAATTACAAATTAAAAGTTAAAAAAATATAAATTATAATTAACTAGTTATATAAATAAGAAATATTTAATAAAACTATTAAGATAATAAAAAGAATCTTAATTTTCTTAATATAACAATAAAGAATATTATTTTTAGTGTGAGTAACTTAGTATAAGCACAATACCTATGAAAAAAATAAACATCAACATCAGAGATATATACCTTAAGCTCAATATCAGTAACTTTGCAACGAAGCTTCGAAGGAAGATCAAAAATTGGTTTCATGTTGCACAAGTCATCTTTGATATATGTCTCAAGCTGAAAATGCCATAAACTTTCATGAACAGATTCACAAACCAAATTAAAATAGAAAAAAAAAACATGGGATTAAAGATAAAATCACCTGTTCAAGGTGTCCTTGAAGATAGTAATAAACAATTTCTCCAACTTTTGGAAGGTTACGATTAGACAAACGTCCAGTACATAATTTCCAAAACGTCTTATATAAATAGCTCTTTGTTCCATCAACTGGTAAAAAAAAATATATAACAAATAAATATTTGAAGAAATTGAAACCTAAACTCGAATTCAAGAGTTTTCTCTTATACCTGGAAAATCAGGTTGTGCATTCATAACTTGGTTATTCGCTATCAACTCTTATTCAAAAGCTGGTGTAAACAAGTTTGTTTGTTTTTTACACCATTTTTTTTTACTTGTTATGTCTTAAACATGATACATTACATGTATTTATAGTTGAAATATCTAAGTTTTACATTAATTTATCTTGAGAGATGAACTTACCAAAAAATTTAGCTAGTTACCAAAATATAATACTTTGACGTTCAAACAATTATATATTAGAAATATCGAAAGTTCTTTAATTCTGATTTAATCATGTTTCCAAAATACGTATTTAATAGTATATAAAAGAAGTGAACACTTGATATACACCTTAAAATTAGATGAATCTACTTTCAGACGAACAAGAAAATGATGTTTTTCGAAGGTAAATGCTTACGGCAGAGTCTCTCAAATATTTTTTCGGAAGTGCAGCTCAAAGCCAAAAGCTGAGTCTCTTGAATATTTATTCAGAATTGGTTAGTATATATCAAGACTATGGGGGATATTCTTTTTCAAGGAATTGATTGTTAGGATTATAAGATGAACAATACAAAGCTAATTAAGCTTATTTGTTTTTTTTTTTAATGTTATTAAGCTTATATGTTGACAAGAAAAGAAAAAATCTAATAAAATTTATATCATCATCTAATGAGTGCTCAATTTTCTCCAATCTATTAGAAGTGTTTGGTGTGTTTTGAAATAGATTTGGTATTTCCCGTTCTCTCTTATTTCTTGCCATAACAAAACTTAGGACATACTCCAAAGTCAAAATTTTCGCATCCAAAGTCAAAATTTTAGAACATCATTTTTATTCTCATTTTCATCAACTCTATCAAACAAATCTGTCTCTAATTTTGGTTTTCAAGTAAAATACCCTCAAATTCAAATATTCTAAAATTAATCAAATTGATCAATTTACTGGTGGATCAAATTGATCATTTAGTCTGATTCTACATTTCTTAATTTTTACTTATTAAGTTATTATGCTTCTGAAAACAAAATGAAATTTATAAGAAATAATTTTTTTCACCAAGATCGATTTGTGTAATAGATCCATTTGGCAAATTGACCTTAAGAACTGTAAAAGCTTTCTAAACAAAAAAAGTTATAAAAGTCCTTTTTACCTAATCAATATTTACTGAATTAAATGTCAGAAAATGTTAAAAGTGCAGTACTCATAAAATATCTTACATCCATTTTCTTTATTTTTAACTTATGTGGATAGTCAGTGTTTTTTTTAAGTCTTTCTCCCTTTGCCAAACATTACCTAATAAGTCAATAACATTTTTGACCAAAGTCCAAAGTTGTCGAAATAGCCCATTTTTTTATTATTATTAACTTCCATTTATGAATGAAGACAAAATGGGTCCATAGCTCAGTGGTAGAGCATTCGACTGCAGATCGAGAGGTCACTGGTTCGAACCCGGTTGGGCCCTTAGTATATTTATTTTATATTTTCGTTGTTCAGTCAAGACTCCGACTTTCTGATCCGACTACATTTGTTCTCGTTTGGTTCACACATTTAGAAACTCACAACAACTGGTATTAAATCAGATCACTTAAGTGAGCTATCGTTCCCTTTACGTCTGATTTTTAATATCATGAATTACACTGTAAACAACAATTAGTCATTTAATTTGAGTTTCTGCAATGTTTTTAGGGAGTTAATTGATAAGTTCTGCAACCTTCGCATTCTTTCTTTTGGCAGTCAATTAACTTTGGATCATTTCAAGTGTACTGTGTTAGCAGATGATGCATGCCCCTATAGCTATGTCTTTGTCTTCAACATATGAAATAACGAAACCTATAAATCGAGATTCACGCTTCTCCTCAAAGAATTATTGCTCATTAAGATTCCTACAAATAATCTAAGTGATGTGTGTTTCGTTGCTTGTTTGATTGCATTCAGCTAATTAATAGTGTTCTCGTTCTCTGTTTTTTTACTACTTCTTCCTTGTGGCCTCTGCTCAAGACTCTAAGAAACTTTCTTCGGATCTGCGTCACTATAATGCTAGGTTCCAAACATGTGGCATGATCTCTGTTTGTATTACTCACTCTTAACCGATTAACGAATGTTGTTTGGCCCTATTTCTCTACGAAATTAGTACTGCTGAAATACACAAATTTAAATGCACATTAGGGATTTTTGAAAGTTCATGTTATTTTTGAGCATACCGCACTTTTGTATGTCTAAAATAATAGGAATGTGTCCTTTTAAACAAATAGCCACACAAAGTATCCACCGAACATATGTTTAGGCAACAATATTATGAACTCATTAACAGAATATGAGTTTTTAATTAGTAGTTTAGTTGAGGTTTAAAATGGAACGACAGATACTTGAAGAGTGTTTTCATTAAATTTCCATTTCAATAAGGTCACGGGATTTGACCAAAAATAAAAAAATATTAAAATAAGGTCACGGGATCTCGTATTCTCGTTATTGATTTTATTTTTATTGTTTTTGGTAAGAATTCTCAAAGTATGTAGACAATACAAAAGCAAGTAACGGGGATATTCCTCATGTTAATAGCTTACTGATAATGCAACTCCAAAATTAATAAACGGAACCAAACACATTATTGGTGCTGCAACCCCACGGGTCATTTTAACTTTTTGTCCTTATGTACGTTACGTATATTTCTTGAATAGTGATTATATTCTGTACATACTAGATTTTGTATTATCTGTATATTAGTATATACATTTTTTATAATTTGTATATAATAATGAAGAAAATTCACTTGGACTCCGAAGATTTTCAGTTGAGACATACACATGCATTATTATCAGAAGTTCAGAACGCAACTATATTGATGGCATTAATATAGAAGAAGAAAATAACACGAGTGTAGTGTAGGTGAAAAACAAAAGACAAAAAATTTAAAGGATGAGGATAAGTATTATACAAACAGCGAGGAGTATCACATGCACTGATTAGAGCATTAAGAGACAACGAAGAGACTGTTTGATCAATCCTTGTCTGAGAGTTGCTTTCTATTTATAAACCCATCATGAAGGGCCAAATGAAGTCAAATCAAACTCAAAGTTTCATTTCAAACTCTCTGTTACTTTTCATTTTTCCTTTGTTTTCATTTTTAGTTTCTGTGAAGATGGGGAATTGCTCTCACAGAGCAGTATCCGACGTTGGTGGTTCTTCAGTCACCGTCATTCAGGCAGATTCCAAAAACATAATGGAAGATTATTACAGAAGCCAGAGTTTTAGCTCGTTGCCAGTAACCAAGGAGAAAACCCTAGGGTACCTTGTTAGACAAGGTACGCTAAGCCCTAAAAGAGTTGGACCAAAGATACAAGTGTCGCCGCAAAGAAGAAGAAATGGAGTTTGGAAAGCGAAAGTGGTGATTGGAAGTAAACAGCTTGAAGAGATTTTGGCTGTTGAAGGCAATACACACGCTTTGATTGATCAGCTTCGGTTTGCTGCAGCACAAGCTTTAACTTCTTCTTCAACCTCTTCCTCGGAGATGGTCGGAGGTCGAAACTTATTGTCTCGATCCCGAAAAAACAATGAGAAGTATTTCTGTTAGGTACTTTTCGATGATCGCATGGTTTTTCTTTCTGGAATTTCTTATTTTGTAAATCCATCATTGTAAGCATTGTACAAAATGTTGAAAATATATTTAGAAAAAAAGAATTGCTTCCAGATTCAGTTTTTGGTTCTCCAATTTTTCATTTTATGATATATAAAAAACCAAATACTATTTGGTTCTTACAATGAAAGATTTTGGCTTCGGTCCAAATTTGGCTAGGAAGAAAATTTGGATTTTTGTCGTTTTATTTTCTTGAGTTTGGTTTGTTCAGAATAGTGAGACTGAATCGGATTAATTTCTTCTTCAGTTCGATTTTTTTTTCTTGTACAGTTTCGAATCCGTTAAACCGAAATAACACACTACCACAAGTTCTAAAGAAACGCAGACACCACAATAACATTCGTACACATGTATTCTGATAAGAGAATCACATGTTCTTCAGACGCGCGATTCCATTTTCTTGACAGCGTTTTCGATGGCTGGAATGTTTTTCTTGAACGTTGACCATTGTTCGTCCGTTAAGCTTATTCCTGGAGACATAAAAAGACAAAATTTACAATGGAAATTATGGACCATGGCACATAACTAGAACAATGGTTAAACTATATCTAAAATCCAAATCTACATGAAGAGTCAACTAAAGAATTTGTTCAAGTCATATATATGATAATTCAACTTTAGTAGAGAAATCAAATCTCTTCAGCCAAAATGTTTTAGTATATAGAACTTGTTACACTCAAACCAATAGACACCAAAACTGGCTTCAAATTTCACTTTGATGCAACTTTGAAAGGAAAATGTGAAAAATTTGGCTCACAGTTTCACATAAACACACAATATGTTGTTCAATCGAAGATGCATTTGAACACAAGTCAAGAATTTAGAAGTAAGAAATTTCAAAACGAACAGAGCAAATCCAAACAGATTGTTTAAAGAATGAAGAGAGTTTAAAAGTGATTGTACCTTTAGAAGTAGGAAGCTCTTTACCATCTTTCTTGTAATACTCTCTAATGGAAACCAAAGTCTTTCCTTTAAACTCCTGAATCGTCACTCTTCTCTTATCCGTAAGCTGACAAAACCCCACAAATCCCAAATCAGTAAAAACCGAATCAGTAAAATCGGATTACAAATTGAAGCAGAGGATTCGAATCTGAGATAAAGAACAGTGTATAAATTTGAAACCGTACCCGGCAAATGATGAGATCTCCGGCATCGTCGAACTCTTTGTTTCCTTTACGAGCTCCCTCCTTAGCTCCATCTTCTTCTTCTGCTTCGGCTTCTACTTCTTCATCCTTCTCCGGTTGCTCAGCTTCTTTCAATTTCTGTTCATCGAGGAACGAATTCACGACGCTTCGCACATAAGCCTTGTGAGATTTCTCAGAGAGATCGACGCCGAGTCTCTCCGAACCGAGTTTACGGACCTGGAACTCTGTCATCTCTGCCATATCCGATTCATTCAGAATCTCTAGCACCGTCTTCTTGATCTTCTCCTTCATCTCTTCCTCCATTAGGGTTTTTTTGGGGGATTCTCTGAGAGTTTCGTCGGTGTTTGTAAAACGGAGATTAACCAAATCGGGTAATCGGAAAGTTTTTTGGAGTATAACTCCATTTCCGGTTGAAACGGTGCCGTTTAAGTGATCTCATTACGTGGCACCCACTAGGATTACGTCTCTCTGGGTAAGTGAAAAGTTTGCTTACGTCAACCGATATCTTATCTTAACCGATGTAAAGACCCTTCGGTACGGTTTTAAATTGCGTAACCACAATCTGAACCGAAAAAGCAGATTTATCACATGTACCCACAATTATTGCTTTCTTTTTCTTTTCGTAGGCAAACTCACAAATTCTTGTAGTACTTTTGAATTTTGGTCCAAATCCCACAAATCCAATAGAAATTAGGAAAAATTTAGACCAACCATTCATTCAGGAGAAAAACAATTCAGTACCATGTCGTTAAAATAAAATGATAACACTATATAATCTAATACGCCAATCTCCAATACGCAGTTTTCATTCTTTTGTTGTACCCTTGAAAAAAGGGAAACCAAAAGAAGAAAGAAAAGAAGTGAGGCCATCACTGAGCAAGGACTTGTTGATTGACGACATCATTGAGCATGACAGAGCTGTGATGATGAACCAAGTGCCACCTGCCATTGTGGAACTCAAACAAATTGGTGATGAGGAATGGACCAACGTCCACATTCACGTATGCTTTCATGGTGACCCAAGCCATGCCGCTTACTATCCGCGTGCGTACGTTGTGCACCTGAAAGTCATACCCTTCTTCCCAGTTGAAACACAGTTCCCAGCTTTGCATCACTTCCCTATACCTGCAATACATTTGAGGACTCAAATCATAAGTTGATCTCTCTCCCTTAAGTATAACAATGTAATGGCGTAGAGTAGACTCAAAACTACGGAGTCACCAGTGTTGACCATGTAAGCTATTAGCTGTATATCATTTGTTTCAGCATTTTTTAGTATATATAACTATACTGTCCAATATGCGTTTGGCAAGTATACACAAACTCAGAGAACACCTAAAGGACTCATCTTACAGCATATAAAGAAAGATGATATTAAGTCATTCAACATAAGAAAGAGGAAGGGGGAGAAATGTGGAGTTGAGTACCCTGAGAAATATTCGCCAGAGGCATGGATGCACTTCACATAGTCTGAGTTCAGCCATAATCGACCCATTTCTTGAAGCGACCTATCTCTGATGATGGTGAAGAATTCAGTATTCACACTCATGATTGCTCTCGTTGTTGCATAGTATTCTTTCCACCCGTTGACAGGTCTTATACCATCTTGTTCCAGCGTAAAATCCTAGAAGAAATGAGGAGAACAAAAGGAAGACAAAAAAGATCAGCAAGCATTGACCAAAAGAACACATACAAAGTACCATTCACAACAACACTCAAGAATCCAGAAAATGCTAATGGTCAATTAAGCACTCCTCCAAACAGTTCATTTACAAGCAGATATATATATGCTACAAATCAACCCATGGATACTCACTCTTGAATAACAACCACATTTTTCAATTGTCCATAAATCATGGCGAAATTCTCAAAAAATGTGTTTGAAACTGATACCAAACATCTTAAACCCAAATTATGTGAAGAGCTAAACCTAAAATCAGAGATACTTAAAGAAAGTTGCTGAATTCCAGTAGTCAAGCTAAACAAACAGTAGGAGGAGAAATGGCGATTTACAGTGATTTATGACTCGAATTACCTTGTGATAAAGGGCTTTCCAAGCATTATCGTCGTTAGCAGCCTTCCTCATCAGCGAATTCGTCATGGACAAGCGGCAAAGACTGGGATAATCCAAGTAGCTAAGCGCGTGGGTTGTAATCTCCGGAACCAACTGCTCCATCATGGACACTCCGGGTTTATCATCAGCGAGCATCGCCACAACATCCGCTCTCTCTCCTCCGCCACCAAGAGGCGAGGAATCTGCGTTTCCGTTCACAGTACCGTTCGTCAGCGACGTCGACGGCATAGGTTTATCCAGATTTATGTTTCCGAGTCAAGGATCGAGAACGAGGAGCAGAGAGGAAACGATTGCGATTACTGTGAAGAACAAGAGAGGGTGGTTATGCGGCGAAAAGGAGTGAAAGTTAGAAAGGACGATTTCGATTGATAAGACATGAAAACTTCGTGAAAATGAACACACAAACCTTGACAAGAAGCTTGAAAAAGTGACGGACTTAGGGTTTAGTGGAGCTTTTCGAAGCGATTCACTTCTTCTACCGAAACCCTAGAATTTAATTCGGGAAAAGAAAAAAAGAATCGGCGAGAGGAGAATGAGAGATTTGCCAAGCTTTTTCTGGTCTCCAACTCCGTAACTGACCATCGCAAATGTTTATTTATCACGAAATGAAATTAGCCTTAAGTTTCAAGGGTATTCTAGTGATTTCCTTATAGGTTAATTATCAAAATAAGCATAAATTTCAAGGGCTTTATAGTAAATATGTATTTATGTTTACCAAAGTGAGTAATTACGATGTCAATCTCTAATATATTAAAAGAGAAAACACTAACTAAATAACCTTTGTCTAATGTGTTATTAACAAGAATGTCATTGCTTAGGTGTCATCACTAGGTTCACTCTTAGAGCAATTTCTAATTAAGACAAGCTTTACTAGACAAATTACAATATATGCCATTGCATATTATGCTTACAACCAAATAATGAAATTAAATTTATCATTCTCTTTCCTTAATTGGCAACTACGAAAATTAGTAAATAAGGAAGATATGAGATTCAATTTAATTCATCATAATAATTTCTTTTAAAATCAGTATACATCTTCTATCATCTTTGTTTAAATTTATTTAATAAAATAATTTGAATCACAATATAAAAAATCTATCAAAAAAATCTAAAACTTTTTCTGTACATGTTATGATTTGAATTTTTAAAAACAAAATAATATAAATTGTTTCGTATATAACCTCATTTAGTAGGTATCCAAAGGTAATTTTTTTTTCATTTAATATGGTTTTTTAATTAAAATCTATAATTAAATCGAATAAAAAATTCTTTTTATAAATATTTTATTTTGATTAAACTTTTGAATATTACTCTATCTGTTTCAACTTTCTATACAAAATTAATTATATTTTTGCTGTTTTGACAATTTGGATTCTGCATATTATTTTCTGATTGGTTGGATTGTTTTGAAATTATAATAAAGCATGTTTTAGTTTTGAAAGAAAGAAAAAAATTAGTTCTAATCCGTGTCCACACAGCTAAAACTTTTTATCTTATGAAATACATGATGTATAATTTTTCTAAAGAATAATGTTTTATTTTCAATTTTTTTTCTTTAAACTATCTTATTATATTATAGTTATTTGAGTTTTATGTATCTCGGTTAAATCTATCATATTTAATATGTGGTTACGATCAATGCTTTAATTTATTTTTTTTAAATGGATTAAAATGCCTAATTTCCATACTATAAACGAATAACAAAGTTAAAAATCTCTCGCATAAAATGTCGAAATATTTAAATAAACATTTTTAATAAAAATACAAATTCAGAAACTATCACCCCGTGCAGGGCACGGGTCAAACCCTAGTAAAGAGTCTATAACGTAAGACGATAACGATTCTTGTAATTACTACAGTGTCCTCCAGTCCTCCACACTTAACTACTTAAGAGTTATTACAAAATACGTTATAATTTTATAGACATCCACGTCCCAACAAATAGCGAGTCCGGTTGGCCCAAGAGGCTTTGTTTTTGTTCAAAGCCCAAGAAGAATTTTCAGGACTTTTATGCTTTCCAATCTCCTAACTTCACTTTGTTGTGAAAAACGAAATTTCTTCTTCCCAATATCATCTTTCACTTTCGAGTATTTATTTTCATCGGCAATTTTAACTTACTGGTTCATTTTAATCACCAAAACTAGGAAGAGTCTTTAACGTAATAAATATATTTTCTCATCTTTTAAATACTTTAGTTTCCAAGATCTCGTCAACAAGTATTGCTTTTCTTATGCAATGGCCTGAGAGAAGACAAGAATCTTCAAAACTCGTGGAGAAGAACAAAAGATAGATGATTTAAATCTATTTACGTTTGTTTTTTTTTATACTGAACTACTTGTTCCTTCCTTCCTTCCTTCCTTCCTTCCTCCTCATCTTATTTACGCATATGTTATGGTCACTTGCTTGACTTGTCCTTGTGGTGGTGAGCTCCGGAGGAAGAAGAAGCAGCAGTTTCAACATATTGCTCGGCGAGCTTCTTGATCTTGTCGCCTTCTTTGATCAAGAAATTAGCACTCTTGGCTTTGCTATGATACTTCATCACTTTCTCTGTCGTTTTAGTCACTGCCCATCTGTATTGTTCCACGTTTATCACTCCGCTCTTGCACAGTGGTCTGATATGTTCTTTGATATATGCTTCAACCTGATACAAAACGGTGTAAAAATATCAACACAAGGAAATGGGGAATGTTTTACAAAAAGGAACGTAACAGTTTTTTTTTTACCTTCTTGATGATAGAGTTACTGATCCCATCAGGTTTTGTTTTCTCTTCTTTAGATGGCTTCTCGCTTGGAGGATTACTCTTCTGAATCTTTTTGGGAAGCTTTTTCTCTTGAACGGAAGTGTGCTCAAAATTTGAAGCGATGAACTCTCTCTGCGTGTTGCTCTCGCACTCTGAGTCAGGTGCTTTAGCTTGAAGACCATTCTCGGCAGATCCTTCAACGAGAGGCTTTTCAACCAGATTCTCGGTACCAGGTCCATACAGTTCTTCACATTCAGCTAGAGAAAGGATCTCACCTCCCTCTCCTTCTCCTTCTCCTTCTCCCTCGCCCTCAGCTTCGGGTACAGGTTCCATAGGAGCACAGCACTTCCCGTCTTCTTCACCATTTGTGATCTCTTTCTGGTTTGCAGTTGCTTCTTCATTCCCCAAAACTTCAGACTGATTTATAACCTTTTCAGGTTGAACAGTGGAGAAAACTACCTTCACCTTACTCAAACCTGCATCCGGCTGCGTTTCTGAAGCTTTTGCAGCCACCGTAGCACCAAGATAGTCTTCGTCGTCCAACTCATACTCAAAGTCCCCAAAGATGTCTGTGTCAGGAACGGTTTCTATGTCGAGTACATTAGCTGAGCCTACGTCCCTGGCTTTGTCCAAGGAACCGTCTCCTTTATCTGGAGGAACTTCCGTTGAATGGGTCGGGCTGTTTGGTGGTGAATCAGCAAGACCTGCTGCTCTGAGCGCTTGAAGGATGGCTGCATCATCTGAATCTTTCTCGCTAATACCTTCAGTTCCGTTATTAGCCAATAGTGATGAAGAATTTGGCTCTCCAGCATTATTTTCCATTGCTTTTCTCTGTGAATGGTGCAGTATCTCTTGTGAGCATAGATTCAGATACACAACTTTGCTACTTGATTTGTCAGCGATCGCTTTCTCTATATTTATAGCATCAGCAACAGCTAGTTCTGTCGCTGCACTTCTTCGAATTTCCAGAAGATTTTCACTCTTCAAGAAGTGTTCTGTCAAGCGATACAATTGTGCCTGCAGCAAGAGTGATTGGCTTATGAACAAAAACAACCACATGTAGAAATAATAATAAAGCTAGCTATTCCACGAGTTGAGATGTAAGCATAGCTTTCGCATGCAATTCAATAACAGACTAGCCAGAATTCTCCCAACGGATGAGGCTAATAGAAAAGCATGAAATGAAATCTTGTGTTTATTTCCCAAAAAAATGAATTTGATCTTCGAATTAGGACCTTATAAAACATTAGAGCAGATCTCTCACAGAGTTCCCAAACAGAATATAAAATGACTTCCTAATATTTGCAAGGCACTCCGTCACATGTGTGTATCTCTACTAATTGAAACATGTACTAATCGCTCAGCTTATTCTAACATTAAACCTAGAACTTACAAGGATATCAAAAGAGTGACCTCTACTTCAGTGTCTGGAACCCCCCAGTAACATATTATGAGCATAGGACTGACAATACCACGAGGATCTGGATATTTAAGTGAAGAGCTATCCACGTACCTGCCTAACTGTAACAGGAACTTTATTATGGCGACTGGTTGCAAGGTTTGGTCTCATATCAGCTGGAAGTTGAGCCTGATAGCAATCAGAGAACCAAATAAGCAACAATCTCAAAACAACAGAAATGTTAAAAGCGACACAACGCAAGGGACGAGAATCACACACCAACAATGGATAATTCCCTTTGAGCTCAGGACAGCCTTCTTTGTCTTCGCTTGAGTTGTTGCCTGCTAAAGCTTTCTTTCTTGCAAGAACTTGCAATGCCCATTTCCTTTTATCTTTCTTCAGCTCATCTGAATTCTCAAATATGGACTGTTTGTTACCAGAGTTTATTTTCGACCCGGCAGCTTTTGAGATGCCTCCCTTGACATCACTGATCTTTGGTAAGGTCTTGTCCACTTCTGTGGTTTGTGCATTGTTTTGAGAAGTCCCCGTTTCACCGATTGTCAAAAGAGGCTTGATATCATTATTTCTCGGGAATACGGAGGTATCTGCCAAATACAATCTTGAGAGAATAGGATTTGCAGCCTGTGTGGTATCAGACGAAACGTTTGTCTCAGCGTCAGTTGGTTTTTTCTTCAAGAGACTAAGAACAGACTTTAGAGTCTCAATTTTCTCAGGCTTTCTAGTTTGTGTGCACCGATGCTTCCAAAACTCAACTTCACAGTCCCGGTGCCATTCACTTTTCCGCTTCCCATTTAAATCTGCATAAATTTTCTTTGTCAGATTCTCTCGGACTTTTCCTTTCTGCAGCATCAACTTCTTTGCCTTCACTGCCAGAGCCGGAATTTTTCTAGGTGCTTCATCAGTTTTAGGTCCTGCCACAGCAGCTCTGAAGGCGGCCAAGAGTTTTGGATCGAATTGTTTCTTTGTAATGTCTTCCATCGATTTGTTACGAACGGCCTCTCTTATTTCTTTCTTTAGTTTCTCAACCAGAACCAATGACTCTTTATCATCTGCCGGTGTCCTCT